TGTGTGTATTTATAAGTAACATTGGTGAAATGGATATCTGAAGCACGGAATTGGACTCTTCAAGTATAGAGAATACACTCGCCACCTGAACACTGATGTTAAATTACATTTGATACACAGCAGGTATATGTGACACTGCTATCTAAGTCCGTGCCTGAAGTTATCGTTACAAGTAAAAACATAGATTGCAGTATATGCATTGTATTCCCAACAAGGGAATACACTAGTTATTGTTTTTATGGGCAGCAATTTCATCAAAAAATATTATTAAGTAATATGGACGATTAATAATAAATTCAACGGCCACCTGTAGGTGAGCTATTTACGGCATTTCGTCGTTTGGAGTTATATTTATAGATTTTGATGAACGGAGAAAACAGCAGGAGGCAAATATAACAAATGCCAAACTTGAGGTGTGTAGTTATTTAGTATATGTTGACTTATGTCAAAACCCTAAGTTAGTCGTCAGAAGAAGAAGGAGACGAGGAAGAAATATGCAATGTATAAGACTTATTTTTATTTGAAATTCTAATTTAATTTTATCCTCGGTTACACAAGCGGCTCCACTTATGCCACACACATATCGACCACGCGTGCATCACGTGAACGGTCAACGCTGATTGATCAGTTAAAGCGGTCACGGTTGAGTTGAGCACACTTGAACCTTACCTTTGTCAGGGATCAGCAACAGTGCACAGTTAAAAAAAATCCTTATTTGCTTAAGGACGTACTACCCTTCGTAATACACATGTTTTTCTTGTCGTATTTTCGTGTCGTCATTTCCGTATTGCGTATCGGGCATTCCATTACCGCAGTGTAAATTATAGTAACACCGGGTAAACAATAGTACACGGGACGCTTTTTGGAACATTTTTTTAGATATTTTATGATAAATAAAATATTTGTAGGGTTGATGAGCAATGTTTCTTTTCATTATTTTATTGTTGTAATAGTTTTGAATAATGCCACACTCTCACAAAATGTGAAAGTGTTGAATTTGACAAAAAATCTATTTTTCGGTATTTTTTACAAAAAAATCCCCAGTTTATCGGAATGCTTAGATTTTCATAAAATCATCTCTACATAGTGACATAACCAGTATGTGAAACTTTCATTGAATTCTGCTGGTAAATTGCGAAAGGGTGGAGCCTCCTTAATATGAATTCCAAGTCATGGTATTATGTATTAATGAACATGTAACCTAAATTGTTGTTAGGTTTAATTTTAATTTAGTAATAGTCTTTGGCGACAAAGTAACGACAACACACGTGTTACGTCCCTTTAACCGAAACCTAGATATGATCAACAATTATAGAAACGAGGTCTTGACATCGCAATGACCTATTTTATTCTCGATAATTCTAATTAGTAAGAATTAACTATAAATCAATTAAAAAGCAGAACCACTACATGAACCCTTTTACTTCTATTTAACTCCGTTATTGATATCTTGTTATCTGTGAACGCAATTTTTAACAAATATTTCTTATATTTATTTAATACCAATAGATATACCTACCCTAGAAAGAACCCAAAGTCTAATAAAATTAGCAGAACTTTTGCAAAAATACAACCCTTTATATATGAATTTTAACAATAAGAGCATAGCTTGTACAGAAGTCGGTTTATTTACAAGTAAGCAAACGATAACAAAGGGACTAGTTTTTGTTAGTTTTCTTAAATATAGAAGTATTTTTCTTTTCCAATTTACAATGATTCAATAGTTATTCCCAGATAACTGGGTATTTGCTGTAAGATGAAGTACATTGTAAGAGATATGGTGATTGGTGAACTATGTCTTTCACAATCTGGAACCGAGAAATTAAAAACAAATGAGGCGGACTGTATGAATTAGTGTTTGTACTAGGTGATGAGCAAGTAACTTAAATTCGTAAATGGTCTCATAATTATCTAAAGACGATTAATTTAATGAGACCATTAATTTAATAAATGCTTCTTTAGGTGTGCAGTGGATGCAATAGACATGTTCCAATAATTAGATTTAATTGTATTCCTAGATCCTGCAGATAACCTAAAATCTTAAGAACAAACATTATTTGTTTATAATATCACAATATAATATGATGTTATATAATTGCATTTCCGTATCACTTTATTCAACCAAAATATAACAATGTTAAAGCAATACGGTATTATATTTTCAGGTCCCTTTTTCGCTGTTTGGTTTTTATTGATTTATTATAACAGGGACAATGTTTTTGCGTTTGAAGTGGTTAGACTATTAAATACAAAACTGAGTGAAATGTCAGCAAAATAATGCAAATGTCAGTGAATGTAGCTTACCGATGATATCAATAAATATCACAGCTTTAAAACTGTACATTCATCCTAACGCAAGATAGCGTTTCCAAGCATCTGAATAAAAATAATATTACACGGATTCAAAGCTACATATGTATGTTACGCTTAATCTCTTATACATGTATAATGTGTTTACAGTATAGGAATTGCCAAAGCTGTGAACAGATTTTTTCCCAAATTGCGTACAGTATTATCCCTGTCAAAGTTGTATACAGTTTTATCCCAGTCCAAGGCTGAGCACAGAAGAGTCTTACTTAGTCGGCCTTAAACTATCTTACATGTGGATGGGTATGGTGTCTCATTTCAAAGTCATGGTGATGACGGAATGCCGAGGAAAATATGATGTCATTTAATATGTTTTACCATATAGTTTTCACTTTTACATGTACTTTCTAGTTAAAATATTTCATTTTCATTAGTCACCGTCGGTGAGTTTATCCTTTCAATAAATATACTATTAAGATATTTTTCAATATCAAACCAAACTCTGATGCGTTATTTCTAGTAGTATAGATACCTCTAAATCTGGTTCAGTATTGCAGAAATCGATATATTGCCACAAGATGGCAGCTGCATTCTTTGGTTTCAAAGATTGATAAGCGTCGTCGGAAAATAGTCTCTCATACGCAAATTTTAAAAGACAGAAATATGCAACCTTGGGTTCATAATTTAGGTGAAAAACCGCGGCAAGCCTCGCTTTGTGTCCCATATTGTGTATCCTTTGCTAGGATAGTTAATTTATATGACAATAAAAAGTAAAGTCATATAATCTGTTGTATATGCTGTGGTATGTTTTATCTCTTGTCAAAGTTGTGAAAATAATTTGATACATGTTATTTTCCTAATCTGTGTTCTGTTTTGTAATTCATCATATCAACATTTTGGACTGATAGAATCTATTCATGTCTTCTGGGTATGCCAGATGAATCTCAACCTGATGGGTCATATTCTTAAAGTCTAACCCGAAGGTTCCTTCAATTCAAGGGTAATCATTCAGGAATCCCGCTCCTAGGTTTGAAATTTCTCCGGCATAACCCAACCAAAGGGATTTTTTCTGCCATCCTTTCAATAATCTGTTTTTTATAGAGATTTGCAATTTACCTCTCCCGTCGAACGATAATTGTTAAGTCATAATCTGTTGTCAATGTCATATACATGTATCTTGTCAAAGTGGTAAACGGTATTCTGTTTTGGAATCAAAGACATATAACTGATGTTTAGTAAAAAAAATAAAAAGCACCAAATATTTAGGAAATACAATAAAAATGGATAGATGACATTAAGTTTTGAACTGAAAACGCACAAAATATATCCCTTTATGCCGTTGTCACGACATACGGCCGATGCCGTTGGATTGCTAGCAAGTATGACATACGATCTTTTACCAAGGCTGGTTACAGATTTGAGTTTTACATTTCGATTTTTTCTCTTTCGAGTTTCACGCTGGTTCAGTTTGTGTCATACTTGAGGTTTGTGTACTCTAATGATAATGACAAGCAAAACACAAGAGAAATTACCCTATATAAATGTATATATTTTAATCTGATATCGATACTGAGGATTGAATACAAGAAAACTTTAGTCGTTTTTAATCTTATTATCATTGTCGGGACCAAATAAATGGGATAAAATAACCAATGGAAAACAGCATCATTTCTTAATATGCCTCTAATGATGTGGTCATTTATTTCAGATTTCTTGCGATAGTGTTTACAATTCGGACTAGCAGTCCCAGATATAAGCTATGACCTTGTAATTAAAATTTGGTAATCGGGCACGGCTTGAAATAAATTACAAATTAACAAACTATTATTGTTTTAGCCTAATTGGTAAATTTGTTATTGCATTTACAGTCACTTCCTACCCTCGTGTTGAATTTCTCTCGTGATGTTTAATATATATACACTTTCATTGTTTGACCTGAAGTACAACTGATGAGTCCAACCTGGGCGAAAAGGACATGTTCTCTAGAAAATTTCTTCATCGACTTACTTAATATCTTTATACTTGTAAATGTACTGCATTATTTCATGTTTTTAATTGTAACTGCATATGTAAATATCATGTTGGTGGACATTCATGTACACTGGATAGATGTTCTTCAGTCACCTTTGTTTCGTGTACCATCATTTACACCTGTTAATTCTAGCAATATCACTATAGTAGTTAGTTGTGTTATCTGTTCTTTTAAAGTTTATATATTTGTGACCATCAGTCAAGAAACTTACACTTTTTCAATTCGATTTTTATATTCCAAAAGAAGTACAACCGACTCTTACATCCCAAATAGCCTACATGCATATATCTTGATGGTTTTCATGATTCCCACGACTCCAAAATAACGGAGTGTGACTGATGTGGATTATATTCAGATTAGGGTATCCTCATATCGGATACATAATGTTCTGTAAAAGTACGGGAAGCTTAAGCTGAAAAGCTGCGAACAGCATAAAGCTAGATATCGTTTTCCATTGTAAATGCTGCTACTGCCGCATAGTTTATGTTAAAGAGACCTGTCATTATTCAGGCTCTTTACGAATAAATACCCACTCAGAAATCTATATTACTTAATTGAAAGAATATTTGATATGACAAATGGCTGAAGAAGACTCAAATAATGAACTAGGGCTAAAGCTTATGCCAAACAAAACAAATGTTTACTCTATTTTATTTCCTTGTCGACAATTTCGTTAATTCTGCAAAACACTTACAATTATTAAAATTTTCAATAAAAGAGTGATTTCAATACTTTCTTTAAAAAACCTTATGAACAAACATTGTTATGGCTTGTAGTGATTTCAAAACCACAGTTCATCACAGATAGATTAGTGTAGCACAGATATAACCATATATACATGTAGTAATTAATACATACCGTATATCCCTTCACAGATTAACGAGAATATAAGTGATATCACTAGTGTTTTCCTTTCTACAGAAGTCATAATGATGACCGTTAACACATTACATCACGGCAGCGGTTTAAGTTGTTGCATTAATCCATGGACAGTAAACCAAACCAACACATATCGATGCAAGGATGATCGAGTTACTACTGTGCCGCACTGACAGTGGTAGCGGTACAAACAGTTATTTAAATGAGCCTTTAATGTTTTAATTGCCTGATCGGTGTGATAACTGCAGCCGATCGTCCCTATTGTGAACAATATCCCACAGGCTACACTAGACAAAGTACCACGCTGTACAAAGGAATTGTAATTAAAAAGACAAACAAATGGAATAAATGATTCTATATTGTCAAATACGTATCTATAGGACATCCATTACATTTAAGTGTAGAGAGGGCGTTATCTCACAAGCTTTTTATGGTGATCATTTTTATAACATTGTGTGTAGTATTTACATTCGACAGCTTCTTACGAACTTAATCGGTAACATTACTGATATGTTTTTCTGTAGCATGTGTCTAGTATACATATTGACATATTTGGCCATAAGCAATTATGTATCATATTACTAACCAAGAAGACAAAAATAACTATCGCCGCTTAAATGACCTGGTTTAGTGATTGCGTTCTGGAGAGAAAGTGTCAGTCGCATTATATTGTCAATAATTTGCAATTAGTGATTTGAAACTTTTTTGTATCTAGAATTTACATCGGTCGGGGAGCAATGTTAATGGGACTTTATTATAATTGTGGAATATGTCACTTTATTAACGTTCTCCATTTCCATAACTTCTCCTTTCATTCACAAAAAGTTTAAAAGAATGTGTGATTTAAAGTAGATATCGTAGATTTCCAAAACATATGTACAAATACGGAAGTCTGCATTAGGTAATGTTTCAAGGGCGGTGATTTGATGGTGTAAGGGGCAGGAGATGTGGGGATGATGAAGTTTTTGTTTTTTGTATTTTTGCTACCTGCCTCTTCATGTCCTGTTGTTTATGTTTCGTATCACATTGGCTTGTCGTTACATTTGTGTCGTAAATTCATCCTTTTGTAAGGGAAGAAGCATACTCAGTTGAGTAGTTTCAAATGAGAGGATGTTTGTTACTGGTTCGTAATTTCAACAGCCTGCTAATAGTAACATAACAAATGAAGCCACAGAAATCCAATTCTCAGGTTAGTCGATATTATGGTGCAAATGTACGTAAATGCTTTTTAACAATTGCAATTTTCGCCTTTTAGCTGTAACAATCAGGGCTAACGTATTATTACATCGAACGTTGATTAAGATAAAAAAAATAAACTAGCAACAGAATATGAAGGGCGATATCAGCACTGGGAGAATATAGATTATACCGATGAAAGACAAAAGTTTGACTGAGCGAAAGTTTTCCGGTATACGTCAGAAAAGGTGGAATTGTACATAAATAACAAAGCAACTTTCATCACAGATAACGTTCAAAATACATTTTCTGCAAACACAAATACAATTGCAATATACAAAACAGGTGCACAGATAAATGAACGTGTAAATATATGATATTTTGTACTAGTCAACGTTATTCCAATTGTTGGGCGTATATTGTTTGGCATAATGGATAAGTATCCTAAAGCCATCTATTCGGATCAACTTATATACATAATCAGGTAAAACCCGTGTAGGATTATCGTAGGAAACAATCACATTTGTTATCAGTATATAGCAATTATCAACAATGAAAACAAAGTCTAATAACCTTATTTGAGGTTATCTTGGATTAAAGCAACATTCTGAAACGTATATTGACAGCAAGTTTATTTCACATAGATAAACCTAGCGAATACATTGAAAAAGGCACGTACTCATCTTAACAAGATACACTATTTGTTCGGATCCAGTTCCCTTATTGGACATACTGTCGTTATTATATATAATATACTCATATACGTATGTTTATGTGTAATAGTAATAATTGATAATTCGAGGTTATTATATACCACTTTATTACAACCTAGTTCGTAGGTCATCTCAAAGCGGTTCACAACTTATTGTTGGATGCAGGAAGTTGCCAGCTTAGAAACATGAATATATAAATACTGTTTTAACCGATGTGAATATATCTTAAAGTAAAATATCGCGAAACAATCTGTATCTAATTAAAGCGGAACAAGTTTAGAATATTTTTTATCATTAAGATTTGCAGACATTATATTATTACACTAGTGGAAGTATATGAGTATAATGATGCAAAGGACTTTAATACATATCAGAATACCTTATTAGGAAACCCCGTTTCCCACTATTCAGTTTACATTCTACAATTTTTGTATTTTTCTCACCATAAAGCACTATAATATCAATTTAATAGGAGATAGAATACTTTCTATTACAATTTTTAACAAAAGTTGTATTACAATGGGTAGGAAAACTTTACAGATTCAGCAATACACATTTTATAGATAATGATAATTAAAACCACAAATAATGAGTAAATAGTACATGAATGACATTAATACATTAAGATGATATTAACTTAAATAAAGCAAGACATTAGAGAGGTGCTTGCTTGCTTCAAATAACTGCCGAACAACCTACTTAAATATCGGGAAATCTGACTTAAGAACACCATCACTGGTAATACCATCTGGTTATAAAAACTTGTTGAATAATTCACAACATGACGTTCTGTATATAAATACATGTCATGCATATCTATAACGACTATGTCCGTGTATCTCTTGCGTGGTTGTTAAATACATATTTCTCTATTTGATTATATTCGAATGGCAGCTACGATGATATGAAATTATCACACATGTGTCAATTCAAACACAACATACATATAATGCTGACAAAAAACTGATATAGTATTGAATTATCCAAGATATAGGCAACTAACAAGCGATCTACAGATTCAACAATTTGACGAGCCATACGGCCTAAATACATTGTCTTAAAAAAGTGATGAGCAACTGATATACATATAAGAAGATACATATAAAAATGATGCATTTATTAAAATGGAATAGAAAGCAAAACTTTTAAATATTTTCAAAACAACAACAAACACAAATATTTAACGTGTCAGGGTCTAAATTTGCTGTGAAATAAGTAAACATGAAAGAAGATACATATACAAATGATGCACTTATTTGAATGGAATAGATAGCAAAACCTTAATACCCTTTAAAAACACACAAATATTTAACGCGTCACGGTCTAAACTTGCTGTGACATAAGCAACCATGCAATATTGTCAGTTTTACTTTCAATATATGTAACATAAATAATCGGAAACAAAATTTAACAGTTTGTAAATATTTCCAAATACTAAGGGCTTCAGGCATTGCTCGATTATTCGTAGTAATACTCGATTTCCGCATCACAAAACAGGGTGTTTAACATCACCATACATGCAAATACAAACGTCACAGTCACAGGAACCATACTGACACTGATGGCTGTCAGAAACCAAGCTGTAACAAATTAACATAAGAACAATATTACACATATTCAAAATTGTATCTTAAACGGAAATATATCACAGTTGAAAATTGAATACTCAAGAATACATTTCCTTTATGTAGTCGGGTATGAATGTAAACTGTCAAATGGGAACGACTATGTAAACAAAAATAAAACAGAATGTTGTATAAATCATGGTTGAACCAAACTAAACATTTGCTGCTAAGTGCGATTTATGAATTTTTCACTTGGAGCAAACCGGCTTAAAACAGCTCACTTTTTCGGAATAAATTTTGTTTGTGGGTATATGATGCCAATATGTGTTAGTCAAATGTATTATGTCTTTAACTTTCTGTTCTGCTCCGGTGTTGCGACATTTTCGAGTTCCTGTTTTTGTGAGGCGATCATTTTTCTTTCTCTTTCTTTAATATTTTTGTTCGTCGAATGACCTTTCATCGATAAGGGAATATACAATTTATCGTCAAATCGCTAAAGACTTACTTGGCGGCACGTATGCTATTACTTCCTCCACGTCAATCATGAAAATCTCGAGGAACTGAGTTGAAATCCCGTGGTCGTCGGAACAGCAGAAATACACCTTATAGTAATCGCTTATGTCCTTGTAGCTAAACACCGGGTTTTCAACTGTATACAGTCTGTATGCTGTGTAATAAGACACATACATGTTGAATAATGTGTCTGAATCATAAAAAAACCCACTAAAACTTATTGTTGTGAGCAAAAACATATGTCTCCCCTTATTAGCCAAAAGATAAACTTCGGTATAAAAAATAGCAAAGGGTCATATCTCTTTATATAGTAGAGGGGCACGAGTCCCCGAACTTAGAATGCGAAACTCCTACTTCCCAAGACGCATAAATATAGCAAGTTTGGTCAACGTAGGTGAAATAACTTGGAGGTTATGCCGTGGACAAACTTCGATATTAAAAATAAACAAGGGGCCATAACTCTATATATAGTGGGGCACGAGACCCGATTTCAATGCGAGAGATTCCACCTTCCTAAGATACATTAATAGGGTAAGTTTGGTCAACACAGGTGAAATAACATGGAACTTTTGCTCCGGACAAACTCCAGTATTAAAAATAAACAAATGGCAATAACTCTGTATCAAGTGGGGCACGATACCTAATTCTAAAGCACTGCACATCTTCTGTGGTTGATGCAGGTATACTTCAAATTTGATTTAGATTTCTTTTACGGTTAAGAAGTTATGCTGTGGACAAACTTAGATATGAAAAACAAAAAACAAAAGGCAATAACTCTGTATATATTGAGGCACAAAACCTGATTTCAGCGCAAGAGTATGGTAAGTTTGGTTAACGTAGGTGAAATGTCCAATGTCTGTACACCTGCTGTGGGTGATGCAGATATATTTCAAATTTGACCAAATTATCTTTTTTAAGTTTTTCAACTTTTCAATTTGAGGTGAAGTTTCATCAAGATATCTTTATCGGTTTAAAAGTAATGCCCCGGACAAGTTGCGATAAGAAGAACCAGAAGAAGAACAAGAACAAGAACCAGAAGAAGAAGAAAAAAAAGAAGAAGCAGTACAATATGTCTCCCTTCATTTGAAGGAGAGACATAGTTTGATGTTTAAAGCCATTTTGAATTATCAAATAACATTTATATCTAAAACATTTCAAAAATATCTAAAACAATTCATAATTTCTGATTGTTAAGTTTAATCGATTGAGTGTGCTACTTTCAGGGCAGTTTTCGGCTGATATCATATTCTGGGCTTTTTACATACTCATTATATACTTGGCAGTAAAGAATTAAAGAGAAATTATATTATTCATAATGCTATTTAACTATTTTGTTTTGATATTGTTTTATCAACAGTTATCGGCAATGTTTAACGTACAAACCAATCCATTCACTGTTTATTTTGCGTAATAACTTGCCTACAATTTGCATGTAACAATTAAACCAGAGGCCTATTTAATCACTTTGAACTATTTCAGATTGTATAAAACCATGTTAACCGTTCTTTCGCCGATGGTGATAATATTTCCCAATTAATGTCTTAACTTAACACGATAAGACGTATCTTTTCTCTCTCAACTATATTAGATTGTGTGAAAACCACGTAAAATAATTATTTTCTTTTATGCCGACGATGATAATAATTCCTTAATAGCATTTAAATTACCTCCAAATGCATGTCGAAGTGCAAGACGAGAATACTCATACACTGCTGACATTGAATGTATATCTATATATATGCATACATAGTCATATTGCTTCTTATATGACCGGGACCAAAAGGAGGAGACAAAGTATCAATGACCATTTTTTAGTGCCGTATCGAAGGAACATTTTTGTCAGTGTCAATAAGAATATTGAGGAGTTGTGCAATTTGTACACACTGAAACAAACATATGGTACATTAGACTTACTGTTGTTAATGAATTTCATCTGGAAGTTGAGTGATCCCGGGATAACCTCTGTTAGTGTACAGCAAACTGAGTCGTTCTCCGATTGGTCCACAGCGTCGATCTCAAACAGCATGGCTTCCTCGACCAGGGCCTCGCTCACTTCTATACTGTCCGGTAGGTTGATAAAAATAGGCGGCTGTAAGCAATAGACATCATTAGAATACAAATACAGCATGCGTGAGTAAATCTAAATTTAAAACAATGCATTTCTTTCCACTTATGAGATGAATTGGTATTTTCAAATTTACGATTAATAATTCATGTAAACGTGTCCTTTTAACTCATCATCGATGAAGCTATGGTACAATATCATGTTAATAAGAAGAAGGACAGGAACCTAAAAATAGGTATTCAGGAAGTAGAGTCGTTTTTTTCATCCACGACACCGTCTTTGTAAACCTAGGCCAAACCGATACCACATCACAAAACTGAAAACGGGGTAATGACACCGAAACAAGGCAGACTTCTAAGCAGGATTGATTTTTACTCGGAAATAAAATATGGATTATAGCAATGTTGTAACTTGGTTACGTACCGCATTGTAGGTCATGATCGTCAGCGTGGTGGTAGCGGTGTTTTGACAGTCGTCTGCGGTGTTCAGCACCAGTTCAAACACCGAGTACGTGCTTGGCAAGACATTTGTTGTCTGGATGTGGATGTTTCCTGTAAAGCAAAAGAAACGTTCACATATGTTACACAGAAAAGCATTAACACCGGTTTCACAATCTAATAATCTGAAATAAGGTTCAATTTCAAAATCCATCAACGGATCTTGTCTCTCACTAATCTCACTAAAATGAAACGTCAAGACTCATGATGTACGGTTTGTTCCAAAAGGAATCATAAGTTCCTTTATCATATATTTTTCTCTTTAATATGGTTCCGACATTTACTATTTTGAAAGGACTACAATGTTGTTGATATATTGAGGTATCAGAAACAAATTGAATTTAATAATATTGTTTCATTCTGAATACACAATCTAATATACATTACATGTTTATATTGATACAAAATTCTTTTTTTTTTTACCAGGAAAAGTCGTATTTAGCTCAAATAGTCCTGTAGTATCAACGAAGGAATGAGTGAGAAGATCGCCGTCCCCGATATCGTCGTCAGTCACGTGGTAGTTAATACAGCTCCCCCCTATAGGAGTATTATCGGGTACCAGGGCATCATATAAAGTCTGGTTCACATACGGCACGGTATCTGGAAATACAACGAACATTCCTGTTAATATGTTACCACTACATACCTGATACGGCATTCTAGAGGCATGGTTGGAAACACACATATTTCTTAACACGAGATATGATGTAAAGGAAGTAGCCGTGTTATCTACCAAAAATAATGAGGTCACTATATCGCAAACTCTTCCAAATCAGAAGGGTTTCCCCAAATAATTACCACTGCAATATTCTGTAGTTTGGCTAAGATTTTAAAAGAATGTTTATATCCAAGTAGATACATGTCATAGGTTTCACTACGTGATTTTACATTCGAGTGAAAATAAAGAATATTTTTGTCTAACTTTCCGAATGATCTCAAGTGAGTCACGTGATAATCTGGAAAATGGTTGATAAAATCTATCCTGTCGTAAAAACTGTTCATTAAAAGTATGAAATGATCGTTGTGCACAATTTTATCGACGCAGTGGCAGATACAAATATAAAACGATGCAAAACTATTTTCAAATAGACCATATTGAGGACGTTGTGACAATCTCAACCCAATAATTCTAAATAGCATTATACTTTGTTTCAGAAATACAGTACAATACAGAAGCTAAAGGCGACAAAAGAACGCTGCATTTGATAATGCAAGGAAAAATAAGAGTACACGCAAAAATTCGGAAGTAAATGTACACACGATAGGTACAATATTATTATATCAGTAATATATAAAAATAATAATATGAGAAAATAAGTTTTAATGACATTATCACACTATTTTACTATATACTGAATAAATAAATAACTATTAAAATAATTAATAATAACTTAATTATTAAACAAATAATTAATTAACACTCACTCGGTGCTGTGAAGAAACGTATAGCATACGCAACATCGGAAAGCTTGGTTCCAAGCGACGTCCATCTGTATTTATCGCCTTCATCAAGGTTTGCAGGTAAAGGAGCTACCCAAGTCTGGTTTGGACAACCTTCACAACAACATTCGGCGTACTTGATCATGTTTTCCCCAGGAGTAAACCTACATAAGATATAATTTGAGGATTGACATTTAATACTACTATGTTGAGAACTTTCCAAATCTTAAAAACATTCGCTCATGTTCCATATATTACAAAGCAAATTTATATCACCGTTACTGATAATCATGTAAATGTAAAAAGACATATTATATTACTCAAAATCAAATGTATATATACTAACAATTGCTATTATGGTGTAAAACCTTTACTATCATTTTTTTGGTCAAACAGATTTCTATGAATGAAATATTGTTTACGTTATTATACAATTATTCAAAAACTCTACTTTCCCGCGTTTTAACATTTACTAGAAAAACAAGTAAAAGAAGCATTTCTCTAAAACTTTAGATCGTCGATGCATATAACATATCATTTAACTGCAAGATATAGCCATGTTTAAAAAAGGGAAAATTCAAATAAATCTATATTTCTTATTCCAAAATAAGCTGATATCAAGGTAATAAACAAACACCTTTTTTACATGATACGAGACCAGGAACAAATCATTGACACTTAAATCCGTTTATATTATTTCATTTAAATTTGGTTACAGTAATTTTGAAATTCCGGGCATCATATTGAAGTTTTATTTTCACCATCATGATCTCACAGGTAATGATGTTATTTGTTTGTGTTTCATGAAGGTGGATGTGTTTTTCGCTCATAAGTTTACTATGTGGTTTTGTTGTCACTACCCGCGTTCTCTGTATGAGGACGTGACATTACTTGTGGTTTTGTTGTCACTACCCGCGTTCTCGATTTGAGGATACGACATTACTTGGATTTGACCTAGATTTACATGGCAGGTGGCGCCTCGGAACACCTTGCACCAAGATTGAAATAATCTTAGACAGACGTCTTTGCTTAGCCAATCACTTACGACGTCACTCTTCATAAAGTTATATTTGATTGCTTAAGTCAAAACTTAAGACATTTTAAGATTTCAAATCGTTTCATGATCCCGAGGCCTGATCTTAATTCCCATGTCCTTTATCAAAGGTCTCAATGTAATCTTTCCTTTGTTCTATCTTGCCCTATATCGATATCGTGTTCGAATTACCGTTTTGTACAGATTTCAGTTTTTCTCTCGTTGTTTTTTTTCTAGTGATTATTTGTTAAAGGTTCAGTATATGCTAGTGGTCTTTTTGGGAGAAAGTGGGAGTTTTAGACTTAAGGGTAAGATACTATCTATATACATAAAATGATTTCAGAAGCATGTTTTTGCAAACAATGTTCGAGTTATGCTTTGCGTATGACTCACCAGCCGAGGAAGTCTCCCTGTCTTACTGACAACCTCTTCTTCAACGGAAGGGAATGATTGATGGCAGATCCGATTTCAGTGTCTGTAAAACATTATTTTGACAAACTGGTCATACTTACTATGTTACATTTATACATCAAAGCTACACCTATGTAGTTTATTTAGATACAGTAGGGTATTGTAACAACGTTATACACCGTCTATATTTCCTAGCTGACGTAAGCTTCCAGCCCACAAACATTATATTACACAATCCATGTGTAATCTACCGGGGTTCATTGAGTCCTCCCAGCCACACAGTTGACATAGTATAGGGGCCATTTGCACTAGACTGAAAATTGTCTATATACGGGCCATTTACCCTAGACTGACCACTGTCTGTTAAAGATAGGGATCTCTACGTCATGAGTAGGGGGGACAGAGTAGCTAGTGCAGCAACCCCCTCCATCCGGGAACCTAGGCCGATGGAGCCCAATGTGATTGGTCAATAAGTCAATAGGTGTTAATAAGGGTCGTATAAAAAGAGGTGCGCGGCTCCCTATGGCTTGTTGAGATAAGGAATTTCACACGATATAGATTGGATTATACACATCATTACCTATTATAGATAGCGGCTTGTTAAACGAAAATGACTCAAGCGGGACTATCAGGCAGTTGGGTAAATACATAATACTTCTTACCATTTGTTTTGATAAGTGTTAATTACTGAAATATTACCTTAGAGAAGCGTTTCATAGTTACTAATTTACCAACTTTTTAATCAACTCAATTAATTGTTTAAACCTTATTAACTCCTTATCTTAGCCTCAGGTATGGAGGGGGTGATTTTTAGATGTGGTGTCAGGGGTCACAGAAGTGACGGCAGCGATCATAAAATCACTACTTAGTCATGCCTGACTGCTAGAACGAAAACCTGTAGAAATTCATCCCATAAAAGTGTTAAGCAGAAACCACTTAGAATTACCATCAGAATTGGTTTAACGTGTTAATTCCAAGTGTCAGTCTGGAAAATGGTAATTCTTAGAATAGAGAAGTGTCAACAGTGCCTCTAGATGTGTATTCCATAAGGGATTTATGTGACTACTGTGCAGTTATATTGTGTTATATGCATAAGGGATTTATGTGACTACAGTGCGGTTATATTGTGCTAGATTCATACGGGATTTATGTGACTACTGTGCAGTTATATTGTGGTATATGCATAAGGGATTTATGTGAACACTGTGCAGTTACATTGTGTTAGATTCATAAAGGATTTATTATGTGACTATTGTTGTTTCTATTGTGTAAGGTTCATAAGGGATTTATGTGATTACTGTGCAGTAATATTGTGTTATCTTCACAAGGGATGTATGTGATCACTTTGCAGCTATTTGTGTTTCAGTCATAAGGCGTTTATGTAATCACTGTGCATTAGTATTGAGTTGTATTCATACAGGATTGACAAGGCGATTGCACAGTGTTATTGTGTTGCATTTATGAGGGATTTATGAAGTGACTGGGTTTATATTGTGTTGCATTCATAAGGAATAATTGTGGTGAATGCGGTATTGGAAAGTCAATACAACCTAAGTGTTGACAGTATATTGCGTTGTGTAATTTAACTAGTCACTAGTGTTCAAGTATTTTGAGCTTTTGGTGAAGGGATTATTATTATTCTGTTGTTATTGGATATTACCCGACCAGTACTATTAGTACTCGTAGAGGAATTTAACTTCGAGCTTACTTTCAACTTTAAGTTTTATCCTCATATTTTGGAGAGTCAGCCTATAACCAAATTCAATAATATTTCGTTAGTAATTAGAAGAGTACGTGTTGTTATAATGTTTACACTCGACCAGTGGATTATATTTCATCAAAAGGAGTAACCAATGGTTATCACCGCCTGGGGTGGCACACGTTCTCTCCAAGGCACTGTCGGGGAGTAGCTGATTAACCACCAGTTGCGCGCAGGCCCCAACGGAGAGGACACACCTCAAGGATCGGTACGTCTTAACTATTACGGAACCCACCTTTGTGGAGATTACGAACTTGGATATCACCTTTTGGGAATTCCTCCGCTTGCGGAACTTATGGATCAGGATCAAGACCAAGATTTCGTATTTTATGTAAATAGTCGACACACGATAAATGTACATATTTGTATTTACTGAATCATGGTTTTCATTTAAGTAAGGTACCGGAATCGCTTACAAATCTGGGCTCGTAACACATTTCTAGAACCCCAGGACCAGTAAGGCCTTGATAAAACTTGAGTGACGGCCTATCAAATCGAGCCGTTGGCTCATTGTACTAGTCTCAAATATTAACACATGTATATTTGAGGCGGGGTCATATCCATTTTACAAGGCAGGTATAGTTTAGTGAATTAGTCGTCACGCACATATGACGGCAGCGGTACAACTACTCACATTACAGAGGTACAGACTTTGGTTGACCAACCACTAATGACCATGGACTGACAACTGACGTATAACGCAGTCTAGACTTCCGTCAATGCCTGAGGTCAAGGACAGGGCCGTGACCGATAGGGGGGTACCGTCACAGTGTTTGAATGAAGGTATGACAATACATCTTATATAGTCATAGTTATTTTGCTATTATGCTTATTTCTTATATAAAATACAAGCCATAAAAACAAGTGAACTTTAAATTTAAATAAAAATAACAACGCTATGTAGAATTTTGTATGCTTATTTTCAATATACATAAGCATGGCATTGGTCAATTGAAATGTTAATAGGATGGTGATATAAGATAGTATGGATGTATTGCAAGCTATAGCTTAATATTAGAAAACACGCGAGAAAGTTATTTACACTAGCATCAACGTAGACATACTCATACGCATAGGACATAACAGAATTTGCTGTATGATTACTGCAGAACTCACCATTCACTGTATAATTAGTCTTGTGTAGAAGTTCGTACTTTGTACTGCTAAATTTTCGCCATATGTGGAAATAAATTTCTCCTGCTACTCTCGGCACAAACTCAAAAGCTTGTATAACCTCACAGCAGGGGAAATCCCAATTGACGTCAAGTAAAAGAAATCCCATTCCTGAAGTTTAATGATTACAGGAAATGTTATAAACGTGCCAATAAGGACATCAGACTATCATTACAGAAAACAGACATGTTTATATACTCTATGCGCTCTTTACCAATTGAGCAAAGTCGCTGTGTTCTTCGACCAGAAAAAAATCAAAATAAATCAACAAAACATGTTTTATACAAATTTCTCAGAGTGCGCCATTCATGCAATGCATTTTTCAATGCATTTTCCTGTTTCAAGAAAATATATATTCAGGTACATATTTATGTTTATATATATGTTATTACTTTAGTCATTCACGTATTACATCACAGCAATATTTTCTAAACTTTTCAATGTGTTTTCATGTCTAGCGATATATATTCTGGTGCATATTAATGTCAGTATGTTTAACATTGCACTTGTGAATTGTATCTTAACAAAAACAAAACATCAAATATAACATAGATGGCTGAAAACGTTAAGATAAGATCTCTAAGATTGTACACAAAGATGAAATCCACTGTATCACTATGCCATTGCTACAATTGAAATTTCACTTACCCACTCTAGTGTCATTGAATACTGTTATATTTGAAGGCTCGTCATATCCAGCATAATGGTCCCCACAAACTATGAATAACATAATGACATTGTAATAACGGTGAAACTGTAATACTGATAAGCCAACCACAGAATACAAATGAACAATCGATGATACAAACTGATAAGTGAGCACAAGACAAACAAGGCCTTCCGGAGGGGAAGGATAGTACTTCTTCATCGACAAAACACACCATGTTTATCTAGGTCAAATCTAGGTAATGACACGTCCTCAAAGAGAAACTACGATTTCGTTTATAATATAAAATATCGACTTTTATATATCTCAACGAAATAAAAAATGATAAAATCGTGACCATAACCTATGTCCATTATTTACACCAAAATGGAATATTGAATTAATTGATTATTTAGTCAACGAGGTTATTCACCCGATGTCATCCAATATAATTTTGTTCACAACTGGTGTTCCTATTTAATCTTTTCGGAAACTTCGATTTATTTCTTTAAGATTTCTAATCTCTGGACTTACATATTAAGATTTTCTGACATTAAAATATAGAATATGATGGAGTTAATGATACATTCTTCCAGGCATTTGCAATTGGTGGGGCATGCACTGCTGTGCCATGATAGACATATCTTACGGTTAGTACTTACCAGGACAAGCTTGCGGTTTGCAGGGTTTACTGTCATTATAGACATCTGGACAATCATTCCCTGGCCAGACTCGTTCTGGGTTGTCGCAAACACGTTCCCTGTACCGGGTTCCACCACCACAGGTTACGGAACAGAACGACCATGGTTGCCAGGCGTTCCATACCCCATCTCCTGCACAATAGATAATAATTTCCACATTTAATTTTAATTTATTTTGACATTGACACTTCAACGGACACATAGTAGTATAATGATTTTATTATCAAACTGCTCAATTTAAACGTGTTTTACTTTCCCATTTTTCATGCAAACGATTCTAGCATGCCGCTATCTATTACATCATTAAATCACATGTCAATAGTTTACGTGAAATCTTTTAGTAGCACAATACACTGTGAGTGCAGTTGCAAACATGAAATGCTTACATGATCAAATCGATGTTCCTGCTTCCATGAACTAGACAGTGTCAGGAGTTGTTTAACCACTGGATATGTTAATGTTTGATTTGTGAGTATAGCATTTTTGCTTAAATTTAGTTCCGGAAATAATAGTGATGCCATATGGTCAAAAACATACTTCTAAACTAATACGTTGAATCAGCGAATATAACATATATATTTTGCTGTAAATACCGTATCAGCCTAAGACCCCAGAATCATCTCGGGAGCTGATACACATCCATTTTCGATACGTTGCATACTACAGGTGAGCATATCGTATTATGTATGTTTATATGTAAAGTATAAATGTATTCCGAACGATGTGATGAAGGAGGTATGTTAAAAGGTCTACATGTGTGATAAAAAGGTTGAAATAAATGTTTGTTCCCGCGCGGCTAATACAGCCCCGGAGGTATTTGGAGCATCAATTAATATATAATGTGGCATGTATTTAGAACGAAATATGTAATATATAATCATATTTACTTACTTGCACAGTATAATAAGGAGAATCCGTAATTGGTTATCTGGCTATAGGTCTTGTTGCAGGGGTCGTCATAGTTCACCTCGTCATAATAGAACCTACAGCTTCCGTTAGTAACATTGTGGCATTGATCAAACAGGATGTCAAACGCATTAGGATCGCTACACTCATTTGGCCCATCGCTATCAAAACCGTAAAAGTTCGAATCTATATACATGTAATAGCTGGATGGGCAAACCATGTGGTACCAGCCATTCTCCTGTATGTTACCCGTGTTGTATTCTGGAATTTAAAGTAACACATTAATTATGTCCTTAATGCATAAGCCTATGTACTACAGACATAAAACTGCACCTTTAAGTAGAAATTTGCATTAATGAAGTAAAAATATATATATAACACTTAAAGTTGATAAGTTGATTTTAATATTTTTTTCTGTATGTTATTTACCATCTCCATAACATATTGAATGAAGTTGCTAAGTGTTTATATTGAATCAGTTGATGATTTTCTATAAATAGCAACAGTGACCTTGGTCTTGACCTTGGAATCCTGAAACACAACTATGTCCGAAGTATACTCATACTTGAACTTTGCATAAAGTTTGACCAAAATCCATGAAAGAATGAGGTTGCTAAGTGTTTAAATTGAATCAGTTGATGATTTTCTATATATAGCAACAGTGGCATTGGAACCCTGAAACACAAGGATGTCAGAGATATACCCATAGTTGACCTTTGTATAAAGTTCGACCAAAAGTGTTTGAATTGAATTAGTTGATGATTTTCTATATATAGCAAGTGTGACCTTGGCCTTGACCTTGGATCCCTGAAACGCAACGATGTTCGAAGTATACTTATACTTGACCTTTGTATAAAGTTTGACCAAAATCTGTCAAAAAATTAAGTTGTTAAGTGTTTCCAATGAATCGGGACGGGACGCGACGCGATCGGAAGGGACGGACATGGGCAACACTATATGCCCCCCCCCCTCATTTTATGGAGGGTTGTACCTTTGTATAAAGTTTGACCAAAATCTGTCAAAGGATGAAGTTGCTAAGTGTTTACGTTGAATCGGGAGGGGACGCAACGGGACGGACATGGGCAACACTATATGTCCCCTCCCCTCCCCCCCCCCCCCATTTTATGGAGGGTTGTACCTTTGTATAAAGTTTTACCAAAATCTGTCAAAGGATGAAGTTTCTAAGTGTTTACGTTGAATCGGGACGGGACGAGACAGGACGCGACGGGACGCCACGGGACGACGGACATGGGCAACACTATATGCCCCCCCCCCATTTTATGGCGGGGACATAACAAACAGTAAAATGATGTATTTAAGCTGATAATGAATATAGCCCGCTTTAATATTACCTGTACAAATGGATAAATCAGGTATGCAGTACTGAAACTCTATATCGACACCAGGACAGTACAGACCATCCCCGACAGGTGCGGGGTTGGTACAGTTTCGGTAACGGTTCTGACCACCTTCTGCATAGCACGTGGTACTGCACGTGTCCCAGTCTGACCAGGCGGTCCAGTTACCATCCACTGTGAAAGTAATATTACGTCAATAAACAGGAAATAATGCTTGTGATATAAATGGTAGAAATATACTACATGTTTTGTGTTTGATTTTCTATTTCACATGGTTCTAATTTTTTGTGATATACGCGGGAAGGCTTATTAGCGAACAATGCCACTTGGGACAACAGTGAATCCTTAATCAATATTTACCGTAGCATAATATGACATGGCCGCTGAAATCCTCGAAACGAATTTTAGCAAATCCGCAATTATTTGGTGGCATGCAAACAGACGTTTACAGTGGCTTAAATCAATATGCAAAATTATTTAAAAAATAACTCTGAACCATGTCAGACAGATGCCAGAAAGACGTATCAGCATCCCATACTACAAACTAAAAGCATCCATGTAATCATAACTCTCGCAGTTGTAGCATTACTAATTGGTTCATAGATATAGGGTGCTATAATAACGACAACCGACCAAACATGTCTATTCTATTTGTAATAAAATCATTATACACCAAAAAAGGTTTTCCATACGTAGAGGAACGCGGAATTAGAAAACTCAATCGACCAGAAACTAAAATACAGAAAGTAATATTGAAATCTATTCATTATCTTAACCTGTTTGTATCATTCTTTCAGTTAATTCCTGGTAGGAAGACTGATAAAATGTTTAGAGGTAGGTTGGTTTGCGGCAGAAAATTCGTAAAACCGTAATGTTAAAATGTTAAGTGGTAGGTGGGTATATTTTGTTCTGATACCCGTCCTATGGTGAATTGTTGTTACTTACAGTGTTGACACAGCCAACCATAATAGTCGCCGGCACATATACAATCGTAGCGTCCTGCCTGGTCATCACACGTGGCTCCATACAGACAATCGACGGTACTGCATATATTGTCCATCGCTAAAAAACAATGGCACATACACTCTCGTACTATAACTATATACTTACATAGTCTATCATATGTACGTAAGAATTAATAATATAATCCCTCACCCCCTTTGGTTGAGAAAACGGAATCTGAATCCGAGGGTTGAGATTCAAAATGTCGACTCAAGGGGGGTGAATGATTATATTGTTCTAACCATGTTCACCGATTGCGTATCATGTAAATACTATAATGTTAACGTTACGGGCTAAATGCAGGGTTGACGTGACGTTGATTCATTGTTGACGTGACGTCAATGTATTGTAATAACGCCACTTTTCAGAACGTTAACCGTTATGGTACTTAACATTCTGAACTAATCCTTGTCGCGATTTAGAAAGATAATATTGTTCCATTAAGGGGCGTCAGCAGGAACACCTATGTGGGATAGAGAAAACCCACTTGGATGTTCTATTTTTGGCACGTGTATCTTTCATATGCAGGGGTTTAACTAACTATATTGTAATTGTAACTATTATCACTCAAAAGTTGGATGGGTGCTGATTATGCTCTTAATAGGTAAAACTAAGATTAATGGTACGTGCAGTATATGTTTTACAAATGCTGCTCATTTATGGCATAAAATGTATCAGCATTGACTATTATGATGATACAAAATTACAGAGTTAACACCTATGATATAATACCGAAATGTTTATGCACAAAATGATGTAAATGAAAAGTGATTGAAATAAAATAAATATACTAACCTAATGATATGACAAAAGAATCCGCGACTTCCATTGCTGAAAAAAAGGAAAAACCAATAATAGTTTATGACAAATGAACTTCATGTCCATGTATAAGTACTTTACACGGAAAACAAGTGTTAAAGAAAAAACACTATGTCATCGGAATATAAAAGTTGATGTATATTTTTATTGATTCTAAGATAATATTTAAGCGTGTATGCAACTTTTACTAAAGATAATATCATATTTTTGAAATATAGTAGAAATATACCCGAATTCTCCTCTACTGTATTAGCATCGCTATACAGGAAAAATGGGGGCGTGGCTAGTGTCTCCCATCCACAGGTTCCTGCCCCTTCCACTACACCGAACCATCCACTATTAGCATCACAGTCGAGACCATAAGATGCCTCAAGGAAAAACCGTCTATTTGTGTCACTGTAGTAAAAACGATAAGTCACCGTTATTTGAATATTATAGTTATTCGTAATGTAAATACTATTAAAACGCACCCTGTTGTGCCAATACGCAGGACACTATATAATATAGTCAGTGTTAACAATATATAGAACAGCAAAAGAACATCGACAATTTCAGTCAAATAATAGTAACAGTGCACAAATCGAAAGCAGTGTAACAACGAATAAACTTAAACAAAGGAAACGATACAAAACTAACACAAAAGAAGGATGGAATATACAAACACAAAAGGAGGAGAGTATATACCAACACAATAGAGGAAAAGGATATACCAACACAAAAGGAAGAGGAAATATACCAACACAAAAGGAACAGAAGATATACCATCATGACATGAAGAGAGATATACTAACACAATAGGGGAAAAGGATATACCATCACAAAAGGAACAGAGGATAAACCATCATGATAGGAATAGAGGATATAACATCACAAAAGGAACAGAGGATATGCCATCATGATAGGATGAGAAGATATAACATCACAAAAGGAACAAAGGATATACCATCATGACATGAAGAGAGGATATACTAACACAAATGGGGAAAAGGATATACCATCACAAAAGGAACAGAGGATAAACCATCATGATAGGAGGAGAGATATACTAACACAATAGGGGAAAAGGATATACCATCACAAAAGGAACAGAAGATAAACCATCATGATAGGAATAGAGAATATAACATCACAAAAGGAACAGAGGATATACCATCATGACAGGAAGAGAGGATTTACCAACAAAAAAGGAGGAGAGGATATACCAACACAATAAAGGAAAAGAATATACCAACACAAATGGAACGGAGGATATAACATTACAAAAGGAACAAATGATATACCATCATAATAGGAACAGAGGACATACCATCATAATAGGAACAGAGGATTTACCATCACGACAGGAAGAGAGGATATCCCAACACAAAAGGAACAGAAACGGAAAGTATACACACAACAAGAACGGGGATAAATACAAATGCCACGGGAACAAAATCTGAAAAAAAGAGATATGTCAAATCAAGGACCAGATGATACAGCATCACAATAAGAACAAATGGAGAGAGTGCAAAAGATAAGTTATCTTTCTAAGGAGATTTATGAAAAATAAGATTAGTGACAATATCTGTTTGCTGTTTTGCCTGGAAACCAAAACACTTTCGTATACTTTTGTTCGGTAAGACATTGTTGGTCAAAGTCTGTTAACTCCTATGTGAGCTACATACAATGTAACAAGCTGATTTTGTACATGGCAAATTCAATATATAATAGAATTTCATAATAATACTATATAGTTATTGAACTTACCCAGCGATGCTGCAGAAATCTGTTGGCGTTTCTCGCGTTAGATCTCTGTATGATGAATATAAAATTCTATCACAATCAAACCAGTTTGTCTTTGTTGTGGCATGTCCATCGAATACAACATAGGCGACTTCTACGTTGTTTTTGAAAAATGAAACTCGTACCTGTAATTAGGAATATAATGCATGTCAGACGCACTAAAGTAAGTATTAATTTTTCTTGAATAAATATCAGGGTATTCTCCGGGTTCAATATGCCTGGCGCTCTACCACCCGCTCATTTCTATCCAATTTCAAAAGTCGATGTTTCCTTTATCCTCTTTATTTATTAAAATCAAAGTTTTATATTGCAAAACTGAAACCGTGTAGTATGAAAATACATAGTTGATATACTAATACGATGATCACGATGAACACATGAAATGCACATGTTGACGTTTTACACCTGTATATGACTGCAGGATGCAACAATGGGTTGACGGTGTCGCTGCTGGTAGACTACAACTTCTCATAGACACCTACATGTAATAGCCAAATAATTGAAAGAATTTTTCGGAGCTTTCTGTTATTGGGAATTTAAGTTTATCTGAAAAAAATGATGTTCTGTCAAAATGACAAACGACAAAGATAAATTGATTTAGTTTCCTTAGTTTTTGACAAACTGTAACTAAAACCAAATCACATGCATACATTGTATGTGTTACTTTCATCTTATACAAACTGTAATTTACATATGCAAACGATATAAGTAAAAACAAAGTCGACAGATCAAGGAAAACAATAACCATCAGGGAAAAGAGATTAGAATCAGAAATTTCGGGGTCCGCTTTTCCATAATATTCAAGCTGAATAATATTGTTATTGTTTTCTAAATATTATGACATACCTTAAACACATACACATAAAAAAAACTGTATTTAAGAACTACCTTAGGGAATGCATAATATGGTCTTTCATTGTAGGTGGGCTTTCAAAGCAATTTCAATTAACATGAAAAAAACACTGTAGTTGGAGTATTCAAAAATGGTCTTTTAAAACAGGTGGTCTATTAACAAAAGTTTTTTTCCAAGCTGGTCTTACTGTATTTATCTAAAATGATAACATTTAAAGACTTTCGACTTAATACTATGCATTTTTTTCCGAAATATGTACGTTATCGAACGAAACCTTTTGAAAAGAATAGCATTATGTTTAAGATTACTTTGTATAGTAAATTCTGTGATGCGTAACTTCTGAGGGACTAACTCACCGCCTGTATATAAAGAGAATCCCATCCGTCTATTGCGCTGGACTTAAAAGTCATAGCGTAGGTGTCGAGGGAGAATGCTGTTTCATTGTATTCATTGACTATGTAAGTCCCCGTAAACAAATCATAAATACTACTGGCCGAGTATAAAGCGCCGGCATGTGCAATGTGGAATGCCGGGAACCAACCTAAAAAAAATATATATATTTTTTAAAAGAACCTGTGTTGAAGACATTGCTGGCTTTAAACATATTTAATCTGAATATTCACATACATCGCTGGTTTTTAAACAAATTAAAACCACATTTTCACAAAGTTATAATACATTCCCCATATTCTTAAAACAGCCGCATATGTTATTAAATTGTGCATGGGTATTGACTGATCGAGGGTTTTCGAGGCGATAGGATGATAATTTATTGGGTAAAAAGATTTCTTTATGGTTGACAAATGATGACCGATTTATAAGAAATTCATCTAAATAAAAACAATAGCCGATATTTATAAATACGTGAAAGCGGGATAATTGAGACGATAAGTTAAAAATAATAAGAAATAAAATTATTTAGCAACCGACTTGGAGTTCGAGATGAGGAAACTCAACTTTTTTATTCGTATGCAGTATGTAAAGAATAGATAACATATTCAAATTGTTATTTTTGTAAGATAATTAAACATGTTTGGATAACTATATGAGTTTATCATTAATTAAGGAATTCTATTCATAATTAAGTTGAAATTTCCGTTCAAATCAACGCCATGGCAAGACAATATATAATACATGTTGTAAGAGCGATAACTCCATTATTCCTTTGAAAAAAAAATAATTATTTTTTGTTCTTTGAAGGCTTTGAACAGTGATGAAAAATGATGCAATTTACTTCATTTTATATCACCTGCAATAGCAAATTACAATGTAAGTACCTTTTACGAACACCCCCATTGTGTCGGCAGCTGGCATTCCTGCGGAGTAATAGGTAAAAGCTGAAACAAACCAATTAAATACAATAATCACATTAGTGTAATCATGATAATAATCCAGTAATAGAAAACAGTATCTTTTATATAGCTGATTCTGATTTTAAAACATAATTAATTTAGCTGCTGACGACGCTATTTCAGGATAGATTGCGTAAAGTCAGGAAAATGCATTTGTATTCTAAAACGAAATTAATGTATCACTTAGGTCTAAAATCAGATCACGTACCACTATGGACCATAAGTTAATATTTTGAAAGATAAATTCATTTTTAAAAAGATAATGAATAACATGGATCTGTATAGGAATATAAGTAATTTGTGACTTTTTAGCCGAAATCAAAGAAAATTCCAAACGTTAAACTGAATGTTTTCAAAAAATTGTTAAGCGTATTGTTTTCCTTAGCAGCCCCGGAGTGCAAAAAAACATACTGTTTCCCTAAATATGTATTACTGTTACCTATTGACACTCTTTGACAAACATATGTTAAGTAGAATGAATGTTCATTGTTGGCTAATTTAAAGAAATATTTGACTTGGTTATCGTGGAAACTTTAAGTGAAAGCACAAAACAACTGACAAAAGAGGGGGAGGAAGGCATACAGGCTCAATTTATAATTATCTTAAACTTAAATCATCACATTTTCGTATTCCGTACCATTCTGCGGGGTATTGTATATGCTACTGCTGCTGTACAGGAAAAACGGATTGGCCTCCACATTCGATGCGCGATCAAATACGCAGGGTTCAGTTGAGTTTTCGGACAACATCATCCAACCTTGTACGTTAGCACAACTTGTTCCGCCTTGCTTCAGGATTGCAAAATTCCTTATGTCATCCCTGAAAATTAAAAGGAATCGATTAATATTGATAAGATATAATCTATGGTTTGTAATTCTAGATTTTATAACATTTGAAAGAAATTAAAAACGGTTGTTGGTTTGCGAATTATGTACAGGATTTGTCTTTACAGATGCGAACATAAGAACTACGATATATCGTCCTAATTTAATTAACTTAATGTTAAGTAATGTTATTAAGTGAGTGAAGTAGACAGCCAACGCTGAGGCTTTTGGTCACTCCAGTATATCATACAAAGCATGTTATTTTTAAGTTTAAGATAATAAAATATGACACTAGGGACATATTTAAATCAATATGTTCAAAAATATTTTATATTCGTTTTTAGGTATAATTAGATTACACATGACAAAAGCTGAAGTTAAAGATATTTTTATGTGGCATGATTGACAGATCTGTTTCTAAATGCTTAACATATATTATTCAATTTATATAAAAGAGAGTTTTTACTCCAAATGGTAACCCAACCCATATAAGAAAATATCTCTCTCGGACCAGCAAGCTATCAATCGATATAAGTTACTGGTTAATTATAATTCATACCCTTGTATACTGCAATGTGACTTTGACTGTGAGACGATATCATCATAACTGGAGAAAAGGATGTTAGCACAGTTGAACCAAGAATCCTTCGTCGTACCACGACCATCAAAAATGACAAATGCGACCTCGGCTCCTCCAGAATAAAAGCCGTATTTCACCTGTGAACATATAGCATATTTGACACAGTATAAAGTAACTTACTTCCCCTTTATTATCCTCAAATTAACATACATATGTACACATATATATATATTACCAAGGTATCTAAGCTTCACAGGTATTGTGCACTTTCTTAGAAAATATTTTTTTCATAATGAATATGTATAACAATGTGACGCAGCCAATAATAATCGAATATAAACAGACAATTTTACTAAAAAAAGACGATATAGCTGATAAAACGTCAACATATTCACGGTTGTTCCATAACACCCCATAATCCGTCTACTTCTCACATATCGCTAGAACAAAAATCGTGTTTCAAAAATAATGATATATATATATACATGTCTGTAAATATGGGTTCGGTTTGGTTTGGTTTGTTAATGCTTTACGCCCTTTCAACAGCTAAGGTAATTTTTAAGAACGGGCCAGGCTTATTGGGAAAGTGTTGATGAAATTTTAAGTAACTTGAAGTATACCATTTCAATAAAAGTGAAGGATTCCAGCCATAGTTCCAGAAGTGATGATTTGAAGGTGAGACCTGGTGCTGTTGACACAGTTTTAGCGGTAGTGTCGAGGTAATTTTCGGTTTCTTCGGACTCCCACAGGGACTTCAGACTTCCGGTTGAAGCTGTTACTCCCTGCACGCCCTTGAACGCCATGAACCAATCTGAAATAATAATAAAGAAGGTGATGTCCTTTATGAAATAAACAGCTCATGTTTGTTCTATATTAAACAGATGTTGAACCCATTTTTTAATACGTGCTGCCTTTATTAAGATCATGAGGCAGTCCAATCGATCCGTAATACAGTAGCAAAATACGACCTCATAAATTTTACATGAACTTGAATATAAGGAATACTACTGATACTCAAAGACAGCTTGTTAAGGATCTAATGTAACATTGAACATAAATATAACATTGTTGAAATTTTACTAATTTTGCTTCTTATTAATTAATACAATACAGCATACGTACGAACAAATCGGCATAGAAGTAACATTTAAAGAGCCATATTGGCGATAAATTCTTAAAAACGAAATAAAAAACCCCGAAAGTGAACAAAATCTGATCGGTGTTGCACTAAATATGTTTTCGAAATTACTATCATTTTATTGCTTTCTGGAATAAGCGCTTTAAATTAAATCAATTCCAACTTTCGCTTACGTCACTGTTTCATACGCATGTTTAACTATGGTAAATTGAATATGTTTCGTACCCATAATGTAAATGGCTAAGGCGTCAGCATCTCCAGTCGGCCCTGAAACATATAAGAAAATCAACATTTAGTGCTTGCAAAATAAGAAATAAGTTGGTTTAGAATATCAAAATAACATGTAAAATGAATGATAAATACTTTCACTGTCTCGATATTTAACACTAGGTGTTCCTTGGTACAATCGTTAACCTTATATATAGCCCAACAAGTTATTCTTACGTCGTCTAGCTATAATGTAATTGGTTTGGTTTAGTATTGTTTAACGTCCTTTCATCAGCTATAGTCATTTGAGGACGGGGCAGTTATATAAGGAGAGATACTTTAAGTAGCTAACAGTGCCAATTAGTATGATAGGATTTTTATATTGAAACTTCATTTCAAAATATTAAGTTTGGTAGGGATACAAATATTATACACATACGCTAAACCACAGTCAATGTATCGTCACGTGTTATAAATAATTTAATAGAAAGGAACACTAGCCTAGACTTAAGATTTATTCTTATGAATGGAAAAAACAATAATGAAAAAACCCGAATATCAGCTACATTTACATATGGCAGTGGATACAAGTGTGCAACAAACACAACATAGTAATGACAGGTGAAGTGCTAAATTTACACTGGGCAAATATAGAGTTCAACATCGAAGGGCAAATATAGAGTTCAACATCGAAGGGCAAATATAAAGTTCAACATTGAAGGGCGAATATTAGGCCCGGCGACAGTTTCCTGGTATACATTATTGGTATTACCTGTAGCCCACGTGACATGTTCTGTTGCTGTAGAGTATTTGATGGCCGGCAGACCTGATGTAGGATCCCACTCAGAACAGCCACTGCTTGCACCTAGGTCTTTATACATCAGCCAACCGCTTTCGTCTGTACAGCTGGTGTATCCCCCTCGACTCAGGTAAAACGTTCTCTTTTTAATATTGTCTTCTCTGAAAAAAATATTTACAGTTAATTATTCTGTGACATGTTTGCTGAAAATATTAATTGTACAAATTGTACAATACATATCATTTTTGAAATATGGCAACAATATACGCGATTTATATAACAACATGACACATCAAACACATTATGCATATACAAATAATTAATGTAATGAATTTCTGATGTATATTGGCATTTAATGTAATATGTGCAGAATTTAGAACATCGTTCCACAATCTAAAACTCAATGATACAATAGATATGAACATCTAATTGGGGGAAAAACAGCGATGCAAATATGCTTTGCGCGGGGAATAGAAAACAAATCACTGACGATCTGTCGATTCAATTAGTGACAAAGTTTAGTCATGCCAAACATAACAGGTCCTATTACAACGCACCGACGGACAAGTAACCCGATTTAACTCTAAACTCAGTTTTATATTAAAAAGTAAAAATAAGCAAACATTTTGATCTTGCTTTTTTTAAATTCCATATGAAATCAGATAGATATTTGATATATCAGCACGAAGTATTAGAATTTCATGCTAAATAGCATAATGAATACTCAGTTATTGTCATCGTTTCTCTAAGAAATTTGAAATAGTTTGAGTCCTTTACATTTTTTTAACATGATTTTATAATGACGTATGTGTATCCTTTTTTTATGTATTATGGTGAGCGTCATCAATGCATGACGTCCTTAAGATATATACTTCTACCAATGATGTCATAATACAAATCGATTGCTTGATAAACTCATTAATCGGCAAACAATTAGCTACTCATTCGGCTTATAATTTGGTTTACTAATATACATGCATGCGCTCTTTATTGCTTAGTTAGGTAAATTATTGATTTTACCTTATTTGGCATGTGACATTTTGTGTAGCATCAAGATCATGCCAGCTGGAGTACAAGATTTTACTGCAGTCCAACCAATCAGATTTAGTCTTTCCGAAGGCGTCAAACACGACATAGTGGACCTCCTTACCATTCTTCCAAACTGACAGCCGAACCTGTGTAAGATACATAATACATATCATTAGGAAAGTGAAGCTAACTCGATACCAAGTACATATATTGTACTGTCCATTTAAATGGCCATAATACTCAAATCATTATCAAATATTTTTGACAACATGACGACTTAACTTTAACAACATATATTTTGTTTTATTGTTTCTTTAATATGGTTGATATTGACCTTTGAGTCTGTATGTTTGTCTATCTGTATTGTCCTCTAGAGACCTTCAGACATGACATGCCCTATATATGTATTAATTAATGACGAACCTTCCCTCAAGGTCGTTGCAAATACTGTAAATGTCTTTAAATATATTTTGCATTTATCGATACCTTTTCTTTAACTGTGCTTGTTAAGTTTGGTATAAAGGCTTTGCTATTAGTCGCTATATAATGAGGTGATCATGTATAATAAATAACATATATACCGCTTGTGCTGTTACTGATGTGCCCCATTCGTCTAAGTGTTTAGATTTGAAGACACCAGCTGATGTACTAAAGTCTCTCTTATCTGTAACATCCGCATCTGACTCTGTAGAGCTAGCTGTTGCGTCATAATACGCCTTTACGTCCGTATATCCACTTTCTTGTTTGCCTGCTGGTGCTTTAAATACAAGCCGCCAAGCTGAAACAGAAACAATAGAAATAGTCAAACGCGACAATCTTGCGTACATGCTATTTTCATCACATAATAACGATAAACAAGATGATCTGTTATGATGAAATTTTGGTTGAAAAGGTACAGTAGCACGATTATCGAGCAAAAGGAATGATTGAGCCCTCGTGATTCATTAATGAAAATATGATAGTTATATAAGTTATTGCATCAGAATATATATACGTAAGAATTATTAACAAGTATTCTAACAACTTTTATTGTTTCCTATAAAATCCTCGTCAATTTCAACGACTGATTTGTTTATTATTAGTACTATTTATCTATATTCATGTAATGATGTGAAAAGATATACATACGTCCGCGATAGGAATCCAGTATATCACGTTCTGAAAAGTTACAAAGCACGCATTGAACATGTTAGGGTGAACACTTTCATCAAACATACTTTATGTCACAGAAATGAAATAAACTAGAAACATATCTCAATTGAATCTAATAAGCATATTTCTGCTTTTATTTTTATATCGATGAATGACAACTAACAGCAATGAAACTTGATAAACAAAATTAATATTAATGTTGTGATTCTTAAACATTTTTTTTTTTTCGCAAATTCTGTTTTATTAAACGATAGTCATAGATACAGTCGCCGTTAGGATACAATGAACCACATGCGTTAAAAGACAAATGTTAATACTCAGTAATGCAGATATAATATAGAATGCTGTTACTGAACTCTTTTATTAAAAAATCGTCTACAATAATAGTAGGGTGGCCTCTGAATTGAATTAATTATTGCAGTTATTGACATGAAATAAAACTTACTGAAGGTTAGTCAATAAACAATATATATGTAACTCACTGATACAGTTTAGCTTGGCGTATCCGTATTTGACTGCACTCGGATAAGATGCGCAAGGATCCCCGCCAAAGTAAGAGTCCGTGAAGAAAAACTGACAACTGTCTGTCTGTTCGTGACAGTATCCTCTCAGTCTATTTATAGCATCGGTTGTGGCACAGTTCGTACCGTCGCCGTAATATGCATCATCAACATAGATATAGAAACCAACAGGACAAATCATGGTGTAGTTCTTGCTTTCAAAGAGATTACCCGTGTTGTATTCTTGAGGAAAAAACAGACAAAAAAGGTTGATCATAAAGGTCGTCTCAATACCAAGATTGTATATTGAGATTGGATTTCATCTTTATCTGCAGTCAATGAGGTACTGTCTTTATTGTACTTAAGATTTAACCATATGGCTCCCAATTTTATTTCTAGCGTTTACAACCGTTTTCAAGTGTTTGTTTCGAAATTCTACACAATGGATAGTTTGATGTTATATTTAAAAGAAATATATCATATAAATCAACTCTGTGCAATTGATGATTATTATTGTTTTCAAATTAAGCAAATAGCTAATTGCAAATTATATTATTCTAATTGTGGCCTTTTGAACTGCCGCTGATGTAGAACCTCAGAGTTGTCATTCACTTCCCAGTCAGGATTTAGAACAAAAATGTAGTTTCCTAACTTGGGTTCATCGGGGGCATTTGTATGAGATGTAGCTATCCCACATGAAAGTTTCATGAGGGATACGTGTATTTTCCATAGGCAATCTATATTTACAGTACTGATAAACATATAAATATAATATATGTATGTGTTTCTCTACGTGAATGCCTATATTGCTTTTGTACCTACCGGGACAGACGTCGTGATCTGGTACACAGGTCTGAACCTCGAGGTCAGGATAACCGCAGTCCAGACCGTGTCCAACTGGTGCTGGTTCAGTACAGTTACGGTATCTGTACTGGGTCCCTATTGCGTAGCATGACGTACTACACGCACTCCAGTCAGTCCAAGTTGTCCAGTTCCCGTCCACTATATTCAATAATGATAAGTTGTCCACAAACCATTATCTATTGTTTAACAATGCAGGTAACTTGTCCGGAAAAAGAGGTCAATGGACTTCGGACAACTCAACACACTAAACAAATATGTGATAAGTCAGAAGTATGACATCGTCTCGACAGTGATAATATCCTTTTTATATTCTCGGGGGTATATATATATAATTTCTTAAAACGCCACAACTCCATATTAGTATTATACAAGTGTCATTTTGTATAATTTTATTTTTGATAGACTACTTATAATTTGTATACTTTCTTCAAGAGGTCAAACGGTGTAATGAAATACATATTTGTATTTATGTCAATATTTTCCTTATCCATAATGTTTCATACTCATTTTAAGAATAAAGCCAAAACACACAAACTGCATTATTTTCAATCCGCATACTACTCACAGTTTTGACACAACCAGCCGTAAAAATATCCGTCACAGAAACAGCGGTATCGAGCTCCCCAATCATAACACGTGCCGCCATTTTCACATTCCACTATGTCGCAAATCGAGTCCTTAGCTGTGAAACAAAAACAATTGAAAATATCCCATTGTTAGAGATTATTTTATATGACAGATGTAAACAGTCAACTAACTGTATATCGTCATGATTACAAACTGTGTTGTATATTGTATTAGAATTATTATATTCCACTTTCATGGGTATATACTGAAAAATAGTGTAACGTATGGTTAAACGCGTGTAAAAGAACCTATGATTGTGGAATCATTTTATATATTTTACATATTTAGCTATACAAATATTTTACAAAATGAGTAAAAATGCTTACTCGTTATGTAAAAAAATGTTTAATAACTAGCGAATACACTTACACATAGATATTGCAAACACATCTGCTACGGCCATATCTGTAAAATAAAAGAAACTTATAAATGATTTGTATAAAAGATAGGACACATTTAGGACAAAATGCTAATAAGTTGTGATTTCCGCTTTTTTTCGTTGTTTTGTTTCACTATTAATACACATGACAAATTTATTCCGATGAAATAGTTCCCGGATTTATCAGCATAGACTATGAGACAGTCACTTGTGCACCGAGTGATTATTATTGCGACTGTTTACGAATAAAAAATCCCCAATCGTATTTACTTTTACAATGATGATTTCAAATCAAACATGACTACTATGAAAATTTCCCTTCTCATTGTCATGTAAGATTATTTAAGTATATCTGTTTTATTTTTATGATTTTTTTTATTGGTTGTTACAATTAAATGGATTTTGTTTTGTTTTGTTTGTATTTTTATCCAAAATATTTTGCTCCAAATTAATTATAGCTACACTTGCAGAATTAAATGTTTAAAGCGAACGTTTCCGTGAGAAAACATTTTTTGATGATTTAGCTCAACAAGTACATGTCAGTTATTTATTGAAGATTCGTTGGAATATTTTACCATCAAAGTTTTCAAGGGACGTTGTGTCACTGTATATGGCAAATGGTCTGGAGGTTTTTTGTTCCCATGAACAGGTGGTTGTGCTGTCTTCAACTACTCCGAACCAGCCGCTGTCTGTCGAACATGTATCTCCATACGAGGACGCCATGAACATTCGCCTATTTTTGGCACTGTCCCTGTAAGAATATTTCTGAGTGATGTATCAAAATATCACACTGATGCACAATGAAATATATCTGAACTACAGAAGACATTTTACAAAGGATTTCGGAACATCAACTTTAAAAAAAACTAACTTACCATCGTCCACATTATAAATGACTGGATTGGGTAGGTTAACAGCACAACAAATATTTACTCCGACATTGTGTATAAACACGCAGAAGCAAATATGTTTTTTAAATAAATTGAAAGTTGATTTAACTATATGTGCCTTTACATTATCAAACAAAATGTGCATAAATTCCACATGCGTACATAATATATCGGCTAAATCATGTCACTTGATTTAAGTGAAAGAAACAAAATATTTATTTTTTTTCAAGTCGGTGACACATGAAAAATGCAAAAATAGATATTGGCAAAATTTTGCCAAAACAGGGGAATATTGACATCACTTTTTGCGACTTAATATTCCTTACCTAATCAAGGAAGGTGAAGCGTAGCCTGTATATCAATGATATATAAATGATATGGTGCTAAAGCGTTAACCCCTTATTTCTAGAGGAGACGGATTCACACCAGCTCATTAAGTGAGATATAAAATCCCTTTTTTTTGAGTTTGCGGTATTTTGTTCAAATATCGTGAAGCCTTTAATTTCAATCTGTTATGAATAAACTCCCAATTGCAAAAACAAATAATAAAGAAATGAAATAAACACAACAGCATGTCAATCATACGATAATTAGACTACGAATTCGCCGTACATCGCACATATACCTACCCGACAATGCTGCAGTAATCTCTATTGGCGTATCGATTAACATCTGGCCATGATGTATAAAGAATTTTCTCACAGTTGAACCAGCTGTTCTTGTCAGTGCCATGAGCATCAAATACAACGAAGGCTTTCTCCTCTCCAGTCACATAGAAAGACACACGTACCTATGCAAGAAGTGAAATATACCAATTGATTGTAAATGAGTTTACCATTTTAAGTAGAACTATAAAGTCATCAGCTTACTTGAAATCGTCAACAATTCGAAAGAACAGGAACAATATAATACAAGTCTTTCAAAAAACGTTAACACGCTTCTGATAACCGTTGGTTACAAGACCATAACTCTGTAAATACTTCCCTTTGACTGATCTTGAGTGGATATATTAACCGATAAATTGGCTCAATTATTAAAGAAGTATTCACATAATGCTTGTACACGTTGAATGTAGGTTAAGCCGGTTACTGTAATTTACTGCGCTTGAACACTATAAAGTACTTTGAAAAACGGGCTTACCGCCTTGAAGTAGTAACTGGACCAATTATCCACCACACTTGACTTAAAAGGCATTGTTGATGCTGCGAATGAGAAAGCAGTATCTGTGTCGTTGTATTCATTCAGTGTGTATGTGCCTGTCCACAGATCGTAAACTCCGGTAGCCGGCGATAAATCAACCCCTTTGGCGACTTTCATTAGAGGGTACCAACCTTCAATTAGAAAGGACATGTTATCATATTTAATCACGATTCAATGCAACCATGGTCTCGTTGCATACAATGTCAATCAACTGTATAGCAATATATGAATTCTAGTGAAAACCAACGTAAAGGAAACCATCTTGTAACTCTACCCATTTGTACAATAAAAAAACACATTTCGTAAAATCTGTTAATGACAGGAAAACAGTTTTTGTTATTTGTAGAAATAGTTATCTTAATAGGAGAATGTATTGTTCGCAAGATCAATTAAGTATTTAGTTGGTTTTCAAAGTCATATTTAAATCATGAACCATGTTTGTCAAATCTTGACGTGACAGATTGTACAATCATTACTTAGTACCTCAGGCAAAAAACATGACTTAACTGTTTTCAGGTCGGGATGACTGAAGAAAAATGACAATGACTATATAAAACAAAAGGTACCTTCTTAGTACAGATAATTTGTTATGTGAAACAATGATTCCGAACTAGATTCAATATATCATATGACATTGACCGCATGTACGTAAGTCTGGAGTATATCAATACATGTTAACGTAATGATTAAATCCAGAAAACCTATAGACAGAAAACCATTATTTTAGATATGTGCTTACTTTAGCGAACGGTTGATACATACCTATAATAAATACGCCCATGACGTCTGCTCTTGGTACACTTGCACTATCCCAGGTCCCGCCTATAGGAAATGACATTGACCAATTATTACAGTCTCGATTTTAATTCATAAAATTACATGACCGATTGAAATTTGAATCACTGAAAAAAATGATAAGTTTATAATATTTGAATAAAATGATATTTTCGTATCGGTATCAAATCGGGAGAAAAAAATATACATACAATATGAACAACGCAACTAACACTTGCAGATGTCCCAATATTAACTTACTTGAGAGTGGGTAAGCGTACTGGTCAGAGGAACTGTACAGAAAATTGGGTCTTGAAGCACCAAGAACGATGTAATTGTCAAAATTACAGTAAGTAGAGCCCCCAACATCAAGTGTTGCCATCCACATTTGATAGGAGGCACACGAGGTTGTCACATCATGGGTTATTAGGAATTTCCGTCTTGTATCGCTGAAAACGATATTTACATTATTGAACGGAGGGATTCCTAAACTTTAGCACATCTACGACAAGGTATTAAATAAAGGGAAGTCGTCAAATTCATTTGTCGGTTTTATCGTTATTTTGTGCACGGATAACAACTATAGAGTAGCCGAATAGACGGTGTTTTGTTTGTTACCAACTTTTACCTGTATATATATCCACCTTTGCGTTTACTGACTGTGTTATATGATCATCTATGCAAGTCTGACTTAAAAATTTGGAAACGGGTTTAAAGCTGTATATATCCTATGTAACACAACAGTCGAATTATTTCAATCGTGAAGAAGTGGCATTTCCGTTACATAGGGGGATTCTGTTGTATACAATTAATTCATTTCAAATATCCAATTACAAGGCATTTTTTGATTGTTTTCTTCTATAACCAACAACATATTTCTGGGCATCTATGCATTTGCTACAACTTGTATACAGACCTAGTGATGCTGCAATGGTCTATACTGGCAGTCTTGATATCACTGTAACTCGAAAACAGGATTTTCGAAGACGTGAACCAGGATGTCTTTGAAGTGCTTCTTCCATCAAAGACCACATACGATTTTTCAACACCTCCCGTAAAGAACGCATACTTCACCTGTACAGGAAAATAGATCCATTTATGTTTCTGTCTCGAACTTTTCTTCAGATTTCGTTTAAAGAGGTCATTTGTACATTTTTTTTTTAAGTAAACAACCTTAGAATCTGCTATCCGCTAAAATATTATTAAACTAGTTCCCTGTTTCAAAGCCTGGGTTAAAAGACACGCTGTTCAAAAAAAAAAGAGAATTACTGAATCATCGGATATGTATTTATTTCCATCAATTTACATTTTGTGCGGTACCAAAATATTATTCAGGGATTTTATATTAAACACACAAATGTGCAGTATATCAACATACATAACCGGTTGCATACACATGTCTAAATATAAGAAGAAAACTGCTTTAAATCATAATTCGAATCCTCGTCTGGCTTTTTATTTTGTATCTCGATAACGACCCAATCAGTAACGTACATGATATTATAAAAAAGGCATATGATACACAACGTATGTGTATACATGTCATTGTCTCTGCAGTTTTTTTTTTTTACCATATCTATGAAGGTGAATGGATCGGCCCAATTTTCCAGTAGACTAGACTTGTAAGCCAGGTTCGGGGACTTAGTCAGTGTCGTAGCAGTTATGTCGTTGTCGTTTTCCGTGTCCGCTCCAGTCCATAGGGTGGCCATGCTGCCAGCTGCAGGTGTCACACTTTCAACACCCTTAAATACCATGTGCCAGTCTGTCGAATAAATAAATGTTTTAATATGTTTTTTTTCTATAAGGGTATATGAGATTGTTCATATTAGTTCTTTATGATTATAAAGTTGATGAATTCCCCTACGTCATACTTATATCGTCTTCGAAGGACGTTTTATGGAAATAATGTATATTATGTTATGTATTCCAACGACAAACATATTTACCGTGTGTTTTATCACTCGTACTTATATATACATACCCATAACAAAGATTGCCATTGCATCTGCAGTTGCCATATTTCCTGAAACAAACCAATATCAAAAGTTAATTAAAAGTATAGTTCATTCCATCATTTCTGTATTTGATGCATATATATTGATAGTTTATTTGGGTTAAATTATGAACATGTTAAACGTATTCAGACTAATGCACTATTACTTTCCGAAGGCATAAATATGAAAACCTGCGTTTTATATAATCACCTGCAACATTTATTAGATTGATTTTCACTCTTCCAAGAACGTATCATTGCAGTTATAGTTATATAAACCAATAATATGTAAGCAAGCGCTAAAGGTGCGATAACTAATAATACGTATAGAAACGGGAAATTAAACCAGTGAGATTTTTAAACTTCTGTTTAAATATAAAAGCCATCTAGACCACAAAAACTAATTATGAACATTAAAAAAAAACAAAAAATAATGTGTTTGCTATGTTATTCTTACCGGAAGACCATACGACGCGCTCAGGCGTTTGTGAATAGAAAATCTTTGGTAGAGATGTCGTGACGTCCCACTCTGCACATCCGGAGCTCGCCCCATAGTCTTTGAAGAGGAACCACCCTGTCTCATTTGTGCAGGTAGGGTAGTCACTCTGGAGGTAAAAGTTTCTTTTCCACGTGTCGGCGGTACTACAAAATCAATTTTGTATTTGCATTATTACTTGGTTTGTGCGACACCAAACTCAATTCACATTTGATATGACATGCTATTATTTCTAAATGTGATACGATTGTAACCTCAAAACGCTATATTTACAATTATAAATTAATAGTGTTTATTATATCTAGCTATTTATTTTGGTAGATATATGATTCTCTTTAAGAGGAAATACTGAATTGCATATATGCTTCATATGAATTAGTTATGAACTTGTATTTTATTTCGGTAAGGTTATGAGTTGATAACCCAGATTGCGCACGTGATGACAAAGGTCATATAATAAATATACTCGAGCTCAACGAAGTGTTTCATTCATTACCTGACAAAAAAAAAAAAAAAAAAAAAAAAAAACNTATGTACATCTCTTTTTTCTACGGACAACAGTTATATTTTAAAAACTCATTATGTGATCCTCATGGGAAAATGACACGTTCTATGGTGAGGTTATGATGTGGTTACTCCAGTTTACAAGAACATTATTAATTTAGTGAATATCAATGTAGACTGTAAACATCATATGATATGTATACATTTAAATTTACATTCTGACGACAAAGGTCATGTTCATTTCAGATATGTGTTATTTACCTTTTGGTACAGGTCCTGTTCCCATCAGGCAAATCGTGCCAGGAAGATTCTACGATGTTGTCACAATCAAACCAGTTCGTTTTATCTTTTCCTATAGCGTTGAAGACAGCATACTGTACTTCCCGACCGTTATCAAATACAGATAATTTTACCTGAAATTAAAAAGTAGTGAAACGCAGACTGGTAGCATTCAAAGATACCGAACACGTTTAAATCAGAATTGCGTTGAAATGTTTGTTGAAAGTGACACGGTTTGGTATGTTAAATACATACGCTGTCCTCATTCATAATAAGGTGTTAAACTATGAAACAATATATACAATACCGGCATGTGCTAAATAATGAAACAATATATACAATATTGTTAGGAGTTAAAGTCATGTTACAGCATCACCGATAGTTTTAATCTATAAAATAATATTTACAACACCGATAGGAGATAAGCTATAAACAAATTTCCAGGAAAGAAAGGTATTACTTATAACGTAATATTAACAGTATCGACAGGTGATCAACTAGAATCATATTTACAGTATCAACAGGTACTTCAACTGTGAAGAAATAATTTCAGTTTACAGTAGTTAAACATGTATGAGATAAAAGATGTTTTATATAGTTGAGTTGTATTAAGAATTGAGTGGTGTACGTACTGCGCTGACAGTTGTGTTGACTCCCCAGTTGTCTAATATTATAGATTTATAGATGGTTCCGCCTGCACTGAAGTCAGTCATTGCTGCTGTTTCGAACTCATTGTATGCGCCCGATGCATCATACAAAGCCATGATGTCCGCGTAGCCAGCCGGCGGGGCTGTACCGCTGGGTGCCTTGAATACCAGTCGCCACGCTAAACAAATACGATACAGGTTTTACATATATATAATAATTAAAACGAAATGAAGATGTAAATGCCATATAAATAATTAGAATTTCGGACTTTTCTCAAAATAATTCCTATACTTACGTCCTCTTAAATTATCACGTTCACGGCTCTCTGAAAAAGATACACATATATTTAATGCATCATTCTTGATGAATATTATTTCAATCAAGGCCTTATCTTTTAAACTAAAATTCATGTATTTAGATTTTTATTTGCGAATTCCTTTTTTTTTGAATATATCATTAACGATGAAACTCGACCTAGATATATCCATAACAATGAAACAATCATACGACACATTTCTTTGGCTTATTTCATGCCAAATATGAAAAAATAATGACTATATTTCAAAGGATGATATTTATAAACAAGAATTGTATATATTATATATGAAACTCGTATATCTTCCTTCTGTCCAGGAATGACTTACTAGCACAGTAGAATTTAGCACTTCCAGCGACAACCGCTCCAGGATACGCAGTACACGGATTGCCAGAGAAAAATGTATCAGAAAATGTCACATTGCATTGATCTGTCTGCAAATGGCAGACTGTCCTAACGTCAGCTAGAGCATTAGCGTCAGAGCATAATGTGCCGTCTCCATAATATGCTGCATACACATGTATGTAGAAATCACTCGGGCAAACCATTATATAGGATGTTTCTTGAGACATGTCTCCTGTGTTGTATTCTAGATAAGATATAGACGTGATAAAATTTGATTATTTTGTCACACATGCCACAATTTCGTGTGCATTTCAAAGTAAGTTAGTTAGTTGCTTAACGAACAGGAACTGGTGAAATGTTAAGTCATATAGGCCCCGAGAATAATAATAATGGACACAAAACTTAATATTGAATATCAAAAAGTAATAGGCATACATCAATCGGCATACATAAGTACACAGCGAAATGGTCAGATATTATTGTACAACGTTTGTAAAATTTAACGGGAAAAAAACAATTTCACGTTAAATCTCGTGAATAGTTCCATCAATTAATCGCATATAGCAATGTTTTCATAGCGGGCCCTTCATGATTGTTCACTAACCGTACCGTTTCAACAATGGATACAGTTATTCAAAGTTATGTATACATGGTATGATTATGATTATTTCTTACCAGAACAGACATCAAGATGGGTTGGGATACAGTTCATGGTCTGTGACGGTTCACCGTATCTGGTGCAGTCTTGCCCGATCCCTAGAGGAGTTGGATTGGTACATGTGCGCGTCCTATATTGAGTACCTGCAGCGTAACATGTTGTACTACAGTCAGCCCAGTCCGTCCACGTGGTGTAATTACCGTCAACTGTAAACAACAAATATTTCACTCTCAATCTACCGATTTCATCATTAAGTATAGGTAAACAACTTTCCTATCTACTTAAGGTTTCTTAACCTTTTCAGTTCATCGAATATTCAACGAAAATAAAATGGGCGGTGATATTGCTATATCTAATTATATGTTCATATTATTGGCTTCAAATCAAATATGAAATTACACTTCTTTTTGTTTCTTCTTGGTTTCATTTCGTTAGTTTAATTTGTTTTAGATACTGAACGAATATAAATAACGGGTTATAAAGTTTAATATGGAAATATAGCCATACATTAATTGGACCACATTTAAATTCAGCTGTTGTTAATACAAAACGGTACATGTACCAGCTTTTGGAAATAAAAATCTATGTACTGCCTTACAAAAGCGAAATAGTGTCGAGTCTTCTATCTGTATTTGAAACATGATACCACACAAAAACTGCATAATGATTAGACTTATACACAAGAAAGGTAACTGTTTCAGTTGTATTCATTCGTTTCTACCTTTTAAATGTAGCACCAATTTCTGTTAGATAGAACTGTCGATCTACATTTGAAAAAAAATGTGACAAAAACTATTTCAAAGTACTTTTTTGGTTTTTATCTCCTCGTGTGTTGATTGATCTTGATCTTGTTTTATATGATGAATAAATGTAACAAATCAAGATTTAGTGATAATGAAATCAATAACAATATTTTTCTACACAAATCTATGTTTTTATTAATAGGAGATCCAGGGGCCTACATGCTCACAATGGCTATATTTTTTGCCAGGTTGACAAAACTATTGCATCTGTGGTCATCGATACTATATTAATTTAGCACTGAATTTATACTCTGCTAAACTTAAATGGCGTGATCCATTGTATGCCCCCCCCCCCCCCTTTATCTACCGCCTTTTGGCGTGAAACCATTTATTACCCAAGAAAACTTCACTTTCACAACATTGATTCTACATCCATAGGTCAGTCATGTATCGAAAATTCCTGTTTCATATGGTTCTTTAGAAAACAAAATTTAATATAACAATACTTGTGTCCTGCATTGACATTCACAAATGGCACCATTTATAACTTTATGGACTTCATATGAACAAACATTCATCTTAACCCCCTGGTACACCACGTAGGTTACATTTCACATCATTTACTGATATAAATTTTCTCCATAAGACATTTAATTGTTACCACAAAATTATGCTTTGTTCCTAGGCGTGGTTTGCATTAAGACCCAAGGAAATCCATTTGAACAGATCGTAATCTAGAACATTATGGCATCATGACATTGTATGCCAAATAGTAAAGTGAAGTAACACAAAAAGGTCATTTAGTGCTGACCATGGCTATTGTAGAGGTCCAATCTATGGCTCAGGGGACTGTGTTTTAATTAAGTAGTAGCATTGGTACACGTGGTCTTCTTCATCCATGGTTCAACTGATACTATGTAAACGTAAAACCGCTTTTTATAACAAGTTTCACGTTATTACACGTTAGTTTCGCGTTATTACGCGCTAGTTTTGCGATATATCGCGATAGTTTAGCGTTATTACGCGTTAGTTACGCGTTATTTTGCGAAAGATTCTCGTTATTACGTGAACGTTTCATGTTATTACGCGTTCGTTTTGCGTTAATTCACACAGGTTTCGCGTTATTACGGGTTAGTTTTGCGCTAATACGCGAAAAAATATTCTCTTAAAATGAGTTCAATAGGCTTTCGTAATAATTACAATGTAAAATTGTGTAATATTTTTCATAATGAATTATCGGCTTTTATATTTTCACTTTTGAAAAGGGGATAAATGCTACACTATAGCATCATAAACAAGTGCACTTACTATTCTGGCAGAGCCACCCATAAAAGCCATCTTCGCAGAGACACCGGTATGTAACGCCCCAATCAAGGCAGGTTGCGCCGTTTTCGCAGGTGACGATATCACATATGTTGTCCATAGCTTTGCAAGGAAACATAATCAGATATGAAAGTTATAGCTTTGAAGATAAGACGTCGCCTCTATGATGACGGCAACTTTGCCTTACATTACATCATATTGTTTTTGTGACGTGACAGATATGACAGCGCCAATCAAAAAACATAATAGCAACAATTTTTAAGTAGCTTATCACACTAACATAGTTTATACATATTACAGATTTTTCATGATTATTTTCGCAATTATAAGAAAACCACACTTGTATTAAAACAGTGCTGCGCATGCGTGTGAACAAGTAGAAAAAAAATACAATAAAATAAAAATAAATAATAAATAAATGACACATTTAAACATTCAAAGTGGAACTTGTTGATCCAGCAGCCATTAATCCGGTACCAACCGTTTTTTAAGAGACAATGCTTCTTCTTAACAAAGAAAAAATACTGGTATTAGATTGATTTACACTTTTTTAGATCGCTAAATGTAACTGGATAAACGAAGCTCAACTTTATACATGTATTTTGTTTGCGTGCTATAATTTATGAATATTCAATAACTTTTCGGTCAAAAATAACTCCGATAGATTGCATAAAAAACTTGATGAATGTATTTGATCGCACTTGCAACCAAAGGTTTTTGTTTGGTTTTTAGTTTCATCATTTGATTGTCATTAAGCAAACGGATTGTGTACAGGTTAACAAACTAACGGTAAGCTTTTTATCATGTTACTTACATACGGATATCGCAAACACGTCTGCTACACTCATGGCTGAAATATAGACATGGGTAATTTAAGCCTAAAATAATAAAAGCAATCATGTGTTTTTATAGTTGAACTATAATTATAAAAAAAAAATGTCTCCGACGAAAACATAACTTAATTGTCATTGAAGGGAAATATACACAAAACAAAAGTTTACAGTTTGTGTACGGTACAAAATACTGTTTTATATGGAATATCAATTTCTATATAACCTACCTGCATTAGTATCCATTTTGGTTCCTGAGCTGTACATTGCATAAGGTCGTGTTGTTTTCGTTTCCCACGTACAACTTCCAGATGATGCTTCCATCACTCCAAACCATCCCCTACTAACGTCGCAGGAAGCTCCTAACGAGTTTTCGAGGAAAAAGTATCGGCTATTTGCAGAGTCTCTGAAAATATAAATAAAACCAAATTAATATTTATTTTGTTAAAGGTGGCGTGCGTTGATTATCATAAGTATTGTATACATTTTCTAGTAATGAATTTAGGATAAAAAATGAAGGTTACTATTCAAAATTGCAGCCTAGTAGGTTGCATCCACCTAAAAATTCACTTCGATTAGTTTGTAAGGTGTGCCATGGCCATGCGGTTTTATACTTTGATAAATTTATATTCCCGATTAAAATACACAGGCTCAACGTGACTTGTCGATGCAAACCATTTATGTTAGTCGATATTTAATCGAATATATAGGATAATAATTTTCGAGTTATTCAACTAGTGATAAATTGTACTGCTTGATTATGTTGTTGTTGTTTTTTGACCACTGTGCGTTTGAGTTCATTTTAAAATGTGGGTGCATGAACCTATTTACAGTCATGAAGTAATGCTGAAAATCCTTGTTGATAATTGCGACAAATTAATTAAGTGTTTCTGGAATGTAATGTTTGCATTTCAGATATAAAATATACACGATTAATGTGTTAGGAATAGTTTACGGAGATGGTAATCTGCACGATATTTCTAACATTTCCAATGTATTTGTGCTGTACACCTTACCCTGACACACTACAGTAGTCTTTTGTCGCGTATCGATTTAGGTCAGTCCACGATGTGTAGAGTATCCTGTCACATGAAAACCAAGATGTCTTGTCCGATCCATGCGCATCGAATACAACAAACCCAGCCTCTGACCCTGCCGTGTAGAACGACAAACGTACCTGAAATATAACCATAGTACACTTCAGAAATTAGGACATAGAGAGTTAACAAATGCAGTTATTAAATGTTAAGTCTGGGCAAAAACAAGCATGTTCATTTATCAACTGTACTACCTTAATGCAGAAGTAAACATAATCTCAACTAGAAGAAAATTTAATAATAAACGCACATTCAAGGAATGATCCGCGGCCTGTATTGCTCAAATTCAAAACACTTAAACATGTATATGGTGTTAAATATTGAGCGTCTATAATTAGGGGTTTCCTGCTGTATGAATTCCAATTGACAATGAAGAAACGCATTATGATGTGATGTACATATCAAATACGTAAATTTGGGAAATGTATCTTTTCCACGCATCTGCCTTTAACTTTATGCCTTGCAAAACAAATTGCACTGCCCAAATATGTTTATGAGTCTGACATCAACCAATTAAAATAAAAAATATTAATTGTCTATGAAAGAGTACGACGGGTATTGAAGCAATCCATTTTAATTCCTAGTACTTACCGCGCGGAAATAATAACTTGACCAATTATCCACTATACTCGATTTGTAAGTCATGGTGTCGGCGGCAAATGAAAACGCTTCATTTGTATCGTTATACTCGTTTAATATGTAAGTACTCGTCCAGAGATCATATATTCCGGTCGCAGGCGAGATGTCCATTCCCTTGGCAACTTTCAAGACCGGGAACCATCCTTCAAATATAAATTAATATTGATGTGATTCTTGGGTGGAAGTCATAACATGTTCAACTACTATATACACTGACGATAAACAGTGGTTTCAATAGTAAACAACGACGGACAATTTTTAAGATATATTCAAGAGAAGACAACAGTAATGTGAAAATGAAAGTAAAATCTGGCATATGCGTTAGCAAAATACAAAGCTGACGTTTCTCAAGCGTAAATCAAATTTAACACAAAATAATTCGAAGCCTGGCCTTGCCATTCAAATATCCATTGGTTCATATCTTATTATCGTTCCATTTAATACAAATGCATTAGTACGGTATTCACATCAAGTAATGCTCCCTGATTGGTCAAATTGTAGGACACGCATCAACGTCACATTTAACATAATTCCGGGAACTTTTTCATAAATGTCATATTGACGCCAAAGCAATCCGGTCAATTATTAAAACATGCCATAATTCTAATAAACAAAACACATTAATGAAAGCATACCTTTGATAAATATCCCCATGACATCTGCGTAGGGGAAGTTCACGCTGTCCCAATTATTGCTGACTTCTGAAATTTACGAAATATTGAATTCAATATGTGTGGCATATAAACAATGGTGCAAAACACAAAACAATCAACATTATAACGTATAATTCGGGTAAGAAGGCATATCCCCATCATGGATTCCGATATGGTCAAAATTACAGCAGGAGTAATTCTTAGTATTGTCACTCATACTCAATGTATTGGTATTAAGTGCAACCTATCTGGCACAACAACTTCATTACATTTCTGCTGTGGGAAGGTAATTTAATTATCTATGTTATGTGACCATATTTGTAGTACAACAGTAAAATATCAATGTGGAATATCGATTTATTGCTACTAAAGAATGATCAAGAAAATGCAACATATTTGCCGTTGTATCAATACTCATGTGGTGACAGTCTCATTACAACGTATTTGCATCGAACTTCGAAAGAATAAGGCAGTAGTTATGTTCCAGGAAATTTTAATTACGTCATCCAGAAATCATCGGCCAATCAGATTGCATCAGCCTCATAATTGTATCAGGATCTCAATATGTCTCGTACAAAATATTTTTTTTCTCTCAAAAATATCACCCAAACTAGTCTTATTCAAATGGTACAATAGGTTGAGCATGGGATTGAGTGAGGGAAGAAAGTACACTATGCAAATTTCATGGAAATCCAACCATTTCAAAATATTTTGTCTGGTAACGAAATGTATTATTTCACTTGTATTCATTCAGGCTAACTTTAAAATCTTATTTTGATGTTGTACTTCTCAAGTCCAATATTTTCCTCTTCCCTCAACTGCAAATGTCATTTCTTTCAAATAGACATTAAGCAAATCAATTTCTATAAAAATGTGCTAAAAATCCCCATTGAATTCATTAAAGTGTTGATGTGTTATAATGAAACTACTGTCCAGGTACATGTGCAAAGTTGCTATGTTTACCTGTACATGTATACGGGACTGTGTTGTAATTTCACATGTGCCAATTAATTATAAGGTCGTTTGAAAAAAACCGAAAACACAATTTCTTTTAAGAATGCATAGACATGAAGATAAGCTTACAGACGTAGGTAGAATATAGAAACATACGTAAAAATCAGGTTTATATGTTTAAACACGAAACCGTATATATTGTAAAGGCATTCCTCAATTTACACCAACCACGATTGTTATCGCACATCGTTCGACCATCGTGCAGACAAATGTGCGCAAGCAATGATCTTTTTATCGTTCGCACATCGTGCACACGTGTACATCGTTCACACACCGTGAACACATCGTGCGCACACCGCACATCGTGTTACGTTGTGCTATCCCACAAGTGTACATAGCTGAATTGTATTTTATCGTGGTTGGGTGGTGCAGTGGATAGCGCACTTGCCCTTCACCAAGGCGGCCGGGGTTCGATTCCGCGATCGAACGTGAAACGGTATGGGGTCACCTGCCCAACCACATGGGTTTTCTCCGGTCATTCCGGTTTCCTACCACAATAAGACCCCACGCGGGCTAACATCCGGGCTAACCAGATTGATAAAAATAAGGTGAAATAATAGTTATAAAATAAAAATAAAAAAGTTTATATTTTATTTTATACTTTATTTTATATTTTAATTGTATTTATATTAGAATATTATACATAGTATACATACGTGGATTTCCGTAAGAGTCAGTGTTGCTATACAGAAAATACGGCTTGGTGACGACTCTAGACTCTGTGTCGAATCTACAGGTAGACGATGTGCCATAGTCAAGCATAAACATCCATGCTGTAGTTGAATCACAGGTGGATTCTGTATAGATGAGGGAAAATGACCGCATACCATCTCTGTAGAATAGAAACAAATGTATATGTCTGTCATGAGAAAGGTAACATTTAAATGGATATTTTCCCTGACAAAACAAGTGATATGAAACATTTTTTTTTTTAAATCAGCAAGAATATAATATGGTTAATGAATGGTTTATAATTTTTATCCTATGAGTGTTCTACGATCAGCATAGCTAAATTAGTGACAAATAGACTTAGCCGTAAAACGCAAGGTTACTTACTATACATATATATGCTAGTTGTATTAGCAAAAAGCTATTGATACATTGTGTAATAAATACGTCTCACAGCCACTTCCATTATATACTGTATACCGAGACACTTTTACGGCCACTTCCATTATATACTTTATTACCCCTTTGAGAAAAATCTAGGCATCTGATTGGTTAAAAACTACAGTGTACCAAACCGCATTCGTAAATCTCAGGGAGTATACGAAAATCTCAGGGGGTATACGGTCATGTCATGTGATTCTCAGCAGTAATACGGTGGAATCACGTGATTTTACATGGGGTATACGGGTCACGTGTCTTTGTATCTTGCGGCCGGGCATCGGGAGACAACTCGCATTCGTGGTCTGCTTCGCTGTTTACAAAATGCTATTGATACATTGTATCGTATTTCGTATTTCCTTCGGCCTATCGGCCTCAGGAAATACGAAACCCTTTAGGGCCATACCATCCCGTATACCCTGCCAAAAATCCGTGTAACTAATAGTATACCGGGACACTCTCACGGCCACTTCCATTATGTACTGTATACCGGGACACTCTCACGGCCACTTCCATTATGTACTGTATACCGGAACACTTTCACGGCCACTTCTATTATATACTGTATACCGGGACACTCTCACGGCCACTTCCATTATATACTGTATACCGGGACACTTTCACGGCCACTTCTATTATATACTGTATACCGGGACACTCTCACGGCCACTTCCATTATGTACTGTATACCGG